TCTCAATAAAGTAAAATCAAGATGTTGGCTGAAACCGTGTTTCTTTCTGGAGGCTCTAAAGGGGGCGGGAAAAGGTATGGAGGGGTTTTGTTTCCTTTCTGGGATAGTTCCTCAAGTGGAAAAATACTTTTCATTGTGAGTTTAGAATGACCTTTACAAAGAAAACCAAAACAAAGCCTTGTTTTTGACTAGCTAGCTGTTCACTCCAGTTACAGCGGCAGAACGACTGAATTAACATTCTGAGGTCATCAATAGTAAATTAACCAGCCAAGTGTTGATGTGAATATTACAGCGCAGGTGATTGAATTTTCTCCCATCAAACACAATGTTCTGTAATAAATATGTAATGAGTAAACACTACAACAATAACTAACTTATAAAATAAGATTGCCATTGGCAGAGTTTCAAGGAGATAATATGGAAACATTGTTAAACATAATTTGGAGATGGGTGCTTTGGTCTTTCTCAGCAGTCCAGCTAGAAACTCAGTTTCATAATGGCAAGGTGCAATAAATGCACAGATTAATATATAGTGCTTGAACAGACTTTCATTCCATATAACCAATGCTCTTTTATTATTATTTTTTGTGAATTTATGGTAACTGAAATACAAATAATCTCCAACATTCCCCTTAATAAAAAAGGGTGATGGTGAGTACAACCACTATTGTCAGTAAATGTCTTTCTCCTCTAGGATGTATGTTACCTACAATGTAACACACAGCCCATGGCTTCAATTGCAACTCTGAACTAAGGTTGAACTTCATTTGGAATTTAAAATGATCTATTCTTCTGTTACATTTTGTCTTCCAACAAAACATTGTATTTTTATTTCAGCAATCACATTTTTAATTCCCAAATCTCTTTTTTATTGCATGTTCTTTTTCACATCCCATTCTTTTTTTGTAGCTACAATATACTACTTTTAGTGTTGTTTTTTTTCTTTGTTCTCTGCTTGTGTGTTTCCTTTTGATTTTTCCTCCCCCTTGTTAATGGGCCCCTCTCTTTTCTTAGGATCCTTTCATTGTATTTGGAGGCAACAATTTGGTAAAATTATTGCCTGTAGTGACACAAAGACAGAAAATGCAGCTAATGCATTCATGACATTCTGTGAGATTTTGAAACAAAATTTTGAAAGAATAAGCCGGCTGTTATTAGCTGTAAATGATAAGTTACTAAAAAAAGAGACAAGCTCAAAAACAAGGTAGTTGGTGAGCAAATGGAATTGAAAGGGAATATAGATCCTAGGATGTACAGGGCTGGAGAATGAAATCGTTTGTCACCAAATCAAATGTGTTATCATTAAATACAACCTTAAAACAAAGATCAAGGCCAAGGTACTGCTACTACCATGGTCCCAAGAGAAAAAGCCAATAAAGGAGTATGGAGATGCATTCATTTTTTAAAAAAATATACTTTTATTGATTGTTTTTATAGAGAGTGGGAGGGAGAGAGAGACAAATAGAAACATCAATGAGAGAAAAATCATCCATTGGCTGCCTCCTGTACAGCCCCTACTGGGGGTTGAGCCTGTAACCTGGGCATGTTTGATTCCTTCTACCAGGAATCAAACTGGTAACATCTCAGTTCATGGGAGGATGCTCAACCAACTGAGCCACACCAGCAGGAGCAGATAGAGTCATTTTTTAGACCACTGAAAGGATTAAGGAGCTGAACCTAAGTATACCTAAAAAGAGTAAGGAAATGAGAAGCTTAATATGCTCAAAACACACACACATCAGTAAACTAAGCCATAGGCATGGCACCGTGGGCATCTCAGGCTGAACTGGTTAGTGACTGTTTCTCTCACCTCTTATGGAAAGTCTCCGGGCTGTTACTCCCCCAGCCACTCCCATATTTGGGTGAACCCTGATTATTTATTAAATCTCTTTGTTCATCTAATACTTGTAATGAATCCACTTTCCTCACCAAATCCAGACTTAAACACCTTGCTTCCCTAAAGAGGGAGGAAGAAAGGAAGGCTAACAAGGATGAGAAGCAAATGCTCATTGGTAACTTACTATGTACCACTTGTTTCATGAAAAGCCATGAAGAGATACTGCCAATCATTTGGCAAGTACACTTGCTTAGCCACATGGTGTATCTCTAAACTAAAGGGTGAAAAACTGTGCCTTACAACCGTCCATCAGAAAAAAAAAAAGGATAGGGATTTATCCGACAGCCACAGCCTCTTCTAGACCATTGATTCAGCTTGCATCTAGTCCTTTTGACAATCACTGGGAAACCCTGTGACATAGTGCGTCCTATAGTCCACAAGTATTGGGATGGGCCAGGGATTCTGAGCATGTAGCTGGTTGACCACAGGCAGAGGAATCACACAACCTGCCAGTAGTGTCACTTTGTAGGGTGGTAGCTACGGCAAAGCAAGTGGTTGATGGCGTAGCAAACAGCAAGTCTAAAAATCTGAGAAGGTACTTGAGGAGGATGTATCTTATACTGTATGCAACGATATTTAATGGCATAATAATTCTGTATAATGAATGGCTTCATTATACTTCAGTAGCATAACAAGATGTCCCTTGCTCACACATCTGCAATGGGTCAGAGGGTTATACTGATCTTGGCTAGGATCATTCACATATCTGGGTGTTGAATGACTCTTGCATGTGCGATACATATAAAGCTCTTGCTAGCACACAACCAACCAGCTGATACATATGACACGCACTGGCAATTTAATTTTGTATTTAAATTTGATAATACTATATTATATATATACTATTTTGACATGTAATTTTTTGCAATAATATGATTACCACACAAATCATTCTTCTAATTAATTTCCTTTCAATGTTCATGAATCCATGCATGAGGCCACTAGTATTATAATGATGACCTCATGGAACCAATCAGAAGTCCCAGATTCTAGACCAAGTTCTATCACTAACTAGTTTTGTGAGCAAGTTAGTTAATCTCTTTGGGCCTCTGTTTCCACGTGTATACAAAATCAGGGATTGCTATATATTACAATATTCCAAATGTCTTATTTTTGCAGGATGTTAGTAGTCTTTATTCAATCAAATTTAAGAAATACTAACCTAAATAGAGTTCTAAATGTTTATTTCAGGACTTTTTAGCATCTTTATGCTGTGCCCTTTGAATCTCTAAGAGGGGAATATAATGTGCAGCAAACTCATTTCACCATTAACTAGTATTTTCATGAAACATGTGTCCCCCTGAATATACTTTTGGGAAATGTACTATTATTTCTAGCATCCAAATGGGTAAATTTATCAGTCAGGGTCCCAGAAAGAAACAGAGGGCAACTTAAAACGGGGACATTTAAGTAAAAGAATATGCTAAATAACTATTTTCAAAGATATAGGCAGGGCTTATGGAAACCCTGGAGCTAATAATACCTGGGAAGCATTATATCCCTAAATGAAAATGGGGCAAGGGGGGGAAGGAGGGGCTGAAATGCAAAAGAGTAGCTGCAATATCTGAAGGATGGCCTTCAAAAGAGGACAACTATGGTGCCCTGGCAGGAAAGGAGGCAGGAGAAATACAATTTCATTTGCTTTTCAACTTCCGGTCTCTTGTTGGTGCTTCTCATTTGTTGAAACCAACCAAAATCCAGAGGCTAAGGGAACCTACCTAGGAAGAGTGGGGGGTGGCCCCAGAGGGGCTGGCGGAAGCTATCCAGCAGAAGGCTCCTTTCACAAGCAGGTAGATTAGGTCAGCGTTTTTCAACCGCTGTTCCGCCGCACACTAGTGTGCCGCGAGATGTTGTCTGGTGTGCCGTAGGTGCAGACAAGACAGGAATTTTATAATTTTTCACTATTTTGTTTACTTAATATTTCATAATGAAGTAATTATAAAATACTTTCTTTGTGTTTATTTGATTCCTATTCAAGAGAATTACTTTATATATAGTCAATATAGGCACAGAGTTAAATTTTTTAACATTTTCTAATGGTGGTGTGCCTCGTGATTTTTTTCATGAAACAAGTGTGCCTTTGCCCAAAAAAGGTTGAAAAACACTGGATTAGGTGACTAACCGATGTCCTCAGGACTCAGTCTCTCTCTCTCCACTCTGCCTTCCTTCGCTAGCTTCATTCGAAGGCAGGCTCTTGCCACCTGCAGCACAGATGCCAGCAGCTCCTCTGAGGTTATCTCGTTTAGTTTACAACTCCAAATAAAATAAAAGGGCCAACATATATACAGCACTCACTGTAGGCCAGGTGCTTTTAAAAGCCATTTAGATACACCAACTCGAGTTAATTCTCATAAGTATCCTATAAGGTAGCTATTGTATCACCTTATCTTTAGAGATGAAGAAACTGACATATGACTGGTAAGTGGAAAAGGAAAGCTGGAATTTAGATTCAGATAGTCTAGCTTTAGAGTCTGCACTTTTAACCACTGCACCTACTGGTTTTTTAAAAATAAGCCCTATCTTCTACAGCAGCCACACCATTTATCAAAAAGGATGCTGGGTCATGTGCTCATCACTGAATCAACCACCTGAGCCATGTGTCCAAGCCTCTGACAGGAACCCATAGCTGCTAGGAATTTCTCCCTAAAAAAGATGCCAGACAGATGTACAAAGCAACAATTGTCCATCACAGGCAGTGTGGACGTGAAATTATTCTAGGGACTGGAACTACAATTCTAGTTCTGCCTATGTTTGCCATTAATTTCAAACTAATTACCTATCACTTCACTGCCAGCAAGGAGATTCTGATCTCAAATTACCTACCACTTCACTGCCAGCAAGGAGATTTTGATCCCATTTACCTCCAAATATGGTAGTGAAAATAAGTGGAAAGATACAAGGATATTTAAACAAGTATCTAAATATATCTAATTAAATAGATATAAATATAACACACTATAGTAAAACGTAGTAGTAAGATTGAGATATGCCAAACTTCTGCTAATAACTTCTGAAGCTAATTTTTCAGTCAACATTCTCTCTGAAAATTTCCTTAAATAACATCCTTAAAAAAAATTGAAGTAAAATAAATAAAGCCTCATAGTTTAAAGTGGTCTAGCAGACATGACACATGAATATTCCCCTAAGAATAAACAAAACACAATTACAAGTTTATTGATTTTTAGCAAAATAAAATCACAAAAGTGGCTTCTTAGAGACTAATGAGTAATTTTTCTTGTTTCCTTGTCTCCAGAGCATTTGGCATTCTTTATCAACTGGTACATAAAAGAATAGAAAAATAGAAGATTGTCATATTGTCCTTTGTATGTCTCTTTTAATATATCAGTATGGTAGTCTACCAGGAAGTAGTAGATGGCTTCGATTGTGGAAAGGAAGGTATCTGGCTTTCCTTTTTGATGGCGCCAAAAGCAAGTTTTTCTTGTTTTCAACTCAACTTGTAACAACCCTGCCAAAAACAAGAAAAGTATAAATATATATACATTTTATTCTCACCCAAGGATATGTTTATTGATCCTAGACAGAGAGGGAGGAAGAAAGGGACAGAGAGAGAGAGAAAGAGAAAGAGAAACATCAATCGGTTGCCTCACATATGCACAATGACCAGGGATTGAACCCGCAACCTAGGTATGTGTCCTGACCTGGAATCGAATCTGCAACCTTTTTGGTGTACAGGACAATATTTCAACTAACCGAACCACCCACCCAGGACTAAATATTTCCTAACTACAGGATGTGATACAATTAACTGATGAATTCTCTTAAGAATTTTTTTTTTGAAGAGCACAGATAAATCCCCTTGATCCCACTTTAAAATAAGGTATTTTTTTGCCCTAACCAGTTTAGCTCAGTGGATAGAGCACTAGCCCACTAACTGAAGGGTTCCGGGTTCAATTCCAGTCAAGAGCACATATCCTTGTTGCAGTGCAGGCTGGATCCCCAGTCCTGGTGCAGGCTTGTGTGCAAGGCAACCGATTGATGTGTCTTTTTCACATTGATTTTTCTCTATGTCTCTCCCCCTCCCTTCCACTTTCTCTAAAAATCAATGAAAAATATCCTTGGGTGAGGATTAACAAAAATAAAGAAATAAAATATTTTCTTAAATGCATTAATGTATATAATAGAAGCAATATAAAACACAAATTGAAATCTTATACCTATAAGTCTTGGACCCAGTAGCAATGGCTGAAAGTAATTAATATTTAAGGGATTCATCTCTCTCTTTCCCTCCCTCCCTCCCTCCCTCCCACCCTCCCTCCCTCCTTCTCTCTCCCCCCACCCCTCTCTCTTAATCTTTATCTCAAGAGTGAGGATATTTTTTTCCCCATTGATTTTTACAGGGAGGAGGGAAAGGGGAGAGGGAGAAATATCTCCATGAGAAAGACACTTTGATTGGTTGCCTCCTGTTCCAGTCCCAACCCATGTCTGGATTGAACCTGCAACTAAGGTATGTGCCTTTTACTAGGAATTGAACTCACAACCCTTCAGTTCTCAGGCTAACACTCAAACCATTGAGAAAAAACGGCCACAGCAATATTCATCTCTTTCAATCTGCTATCTACCACTGTCTTTTTTAATTTAAAGTTGTGACAGAACTAAATTTGCCAGTTTTCAGAAGGGTTTCGTTTCCTTAATAAATTGACATTTAAAACATCATTCTGAATCACACGAGGAGGGAAATAGGCAGGTTATGGTCTTTAATACTTACAGAAGTATTGAAAATGTTCTAAGCAATTAGTACAATTAAAACCTTAATTTAGGCGGGGACCACTTTGTAAAACATATGATTGTCTAACCTCTATGCTGTACACCTGAAACTGATACAAAATAATTGAATGTAAACTGTAATTGAAAAATAAAATTAAAAGAAAAAATATTAACATAGGATTTTGACATCAATGTAATTTATAAAAAGAAACAAAGAGCAGCTATTATAATAATGCTAGTTTCTATAATACATTTAATATGTTCTAAAATGTTAAATATAAAAGCCAAGATTTAGTGACTATCACTACTAATCTATCCTGTTCTAAAGATTTTCTTGGTAATATATAGACATATAGAACCTTTTTAACTATACTGAAATACACAGACATTAAATTACTTAGAAAATTTATATTTCTTTTTAAAAGTTTGATATATACATTTAAAAAAAATTTCTTGCCAGTAGTTCTGGCAATCAATAACTTTAAGATAAATACACAAATTATTTTAGCAGTAAAACTTGAAAGCAGGTAACTATAGATGGCTTTCCCTCTAAAATTATTGCCTGAATTTCTTCAACTAAAAAATGGGAATGAAAACCATATTGTTGTGAGGACTAAATGAGGTAGTATATGATGAGCATTCATTAACACACTAAGTATATTCAGGAAATGTTTATAACGTGAACAAATCTGTCAAAATGAAGGGAGAGAGCTGGCAATTTTTAAAACAAATTACGGTATAATTTCCTATTTTAATCATTCGGACTCCCTCCCCAACAAAAAGAAAACTGTCCTTTCCCCCATCCCCCAAAAGCTTCCCTGGTAAATCTTCGAGAATGTGTGTCAGCTCACGTGTAGTTTACACCATATGATTAAATTAGACATTCAACCTTTAAATGTTTTATTTTGATAGTAGTAAAACACCCGGAGCTTTCTTCTGTAAAGTCTGACAAAATATGTTTTTACATAATTAAGGGGATTCTTAACCTCAGCACCCATAGTAAGATAACAGAAACATTATTTTTTTTTAATACACTACTTCTGAGGGTTTAAAGTGAGGTTTAGAGTTGTTCACATTAATCCCATGTAATGATAAGATGTTTCCAAGCCTAAAGGCAATGATTTATAACAAACATGGTTGTTTCTTGTGGAAGTGACTGGGCTTATCTGGAAAGTGGTATTTCACAAGAACAGAGACTATAAATGTGCACACAGCCCACGTTTCCCTGAGGTGAAATGTGGAGCCAGAGAAGACTGACTCTAGAAATCTATTTATTTAATGATTCTGAAGGAATTGAGAATTACTTTTAAAAAATTTAATGTAGCAGAGAATTAAAATGGATGATACTTTCTATATGATGTGGGAAAGAAGAGAAATTATTCTGTATAAATCTGATTTTAAGCCATAAGCACAAATGTGGACTCTCTGAAAACAGATTTTGAATTGTACCTCAGAAATTCCTTATATAGTTTTTTTCAAGTGTTTTCACTTACGTTCTTTCATTGGATCATTTCAATAACCATATAAAGAAAAAATAGCTCAGAAAAATCTTCAAACTGGGGCATAATTTGCTGTTGTAACCATCCAAGATAATGTGGCACGCAGTATTCAAAGAGCAGGGTTTTAGGATTCCATTTCTCTATTAAACATCAGCAACCATATAAATTAAGCTAATTATCTTTACTAATGTCACTCACTTTAGCTTGGTACTATAATAATTAACACAAGTCAGACTCTGAAAAGTGTTATAAACCTTCTTTTCTAAATGATGTACACTTCTGACAACAGCCTGGGAGCTGTTTTTCCAAATGTCTAATACCAACTAGGTAGCTAGCTCTCTTGCCTTATAATCACACATGGTACACAAATAAAGTCATCAAGAAGCTGGAAATAAAACTAAAGCTTTTAGAAAAACTGAGAAAGCCTGAAGAACAGAGTAGGTGCAACAGAACATGAGAGTTCATAGGAGCTTCTGTTCTTCATATTACTGGTTATTGTTCTTGGGGAAATAAAGCAACTCTTTTAAACTATTATTATTATTAGGAACTAATCTTTTCATTCCAAGAGAAAAAGACATAAAACAAGAAAGAAAACTACTGTAACATTAAAGCTGCATTGGAACCACCCATATAAACTCAATCAATCAATCTCTCTCTCTCCTCTCTCTCTCTTCCTCTCTTTCTTCCTCCCCCTCCCCTTTTTCTCTCTCTCCCCCCTCCCCCCACACACACACACACACACACACACACACACACACACACACACACTTATTTTTCTTGGCTCTGTCCTTTGAAGCAACATCCAAACAGTAACAAATTTACCAAATCTTGGTTTCTAATATCATTCCCAATTTAAAAAACAACAATCCACAGTTCCTTTGAATGACTGATTATTGGTCTAGGGCAGGAGAAAAGTGCAAGTAAACTTTGAATGATTAATTCTAGTTCTGAGGAAGGAAAAAGTGCTGAACCACAAAGACTAATGAGCCATGCCCCCAAAGAAGGGCTCCCACTGACAAAATCTGAGATAATTTGGGCATTACACACACACACACACACTAAAATCCATAATGATTATATATATTTTTAATGGATTTTTATATAAAATATAATCATGGATTTTAACATACTGAATTAAAAAGATATGTATCAGACCACAGTGATCTCATAAATGGTATAAGGAGAGAGGACAAAAGAAGAGGAGAAAAAGGAAAAGCTCTTCCTTACAAAAGAATGCCAGCTAACAAATATAGAAGAAATCATAAAATTAAAATTTTATCATTTTGCAATTCTCGATATAATTACTGACTTAAAGAAGAATTATCAGTGAATACGAAAGCCTCTGAGTGAAAAGCAGTTGGTAAATAGTCCATAGTCTCAAAGCATCACCTCAAAGATTACTACTAATTTCAAAGAAGAAAATAAATCTTTAAAATGGAGAGATCTGGCAATCACCTTTAACCAAGAATTGAAAGTTATCACCAATAATGGAACAACTTATATTAAATGCCTCCTGTTTTGATGCAATAATAAGTAAACAACTTTACCTATATAAATAGGGTAATCATATAATTTATCAATAATAGCCTCATTTCTAAGAGTAAAAAGCAATGTTATTAGTAATTATATCAAAACAATAGTTATAAATTGGAATTGTCATCGGCAATCCTGGATTTATCCTTATCTGTAAGGATCCTTGCAAAAAAATTTAAACTGAATCTATCATGATGAAACATTCAGACAATTGATCTGTCCTCTTCACACAATTCTAAGTCATGAAGAACAGAAACAGGGAACTGTTCTACATTAAAAGAGAAAGAGACATAACCAAATGGAATGTTACACACTACATCATACATCAGAGGGAAAAAAGCTACAGAATATATTTTTGGGTCAATTAGGGAAATGTGAATTTGGACTGTATATTAGACATTACAGAAGTTTTGTTGATTTTTAAAAATATATATTTTATTGATTTTTTACAGAGAGGAAGGGAGAGAGAGATAGAGAGCTAGACACATCGATGAGAGAGAAACATTGACCAGCTGCCTCCTGCACACCCCGCACTGGGGATGTGCCTGCAACCAATGTACATGCCCTTGACTGGAATCGAACCTGGGACCGGTTTCGGCAGAAGTTTTGTTAATTTTCTTAAAGTGATAATGGTATTATGATCATGCAATTATTCTTAAAATATGTATACAGGTATTTAAAGGTGAAGTGTTGTAAAGCCTACATCATTCTTTCAAAAGGTTCAACCAAAAATACATATTTAAGTATATTCCAAATAAAACACAGAAAAGAGAAATAAAGCAAATGTGGTAAAAGATGTATGGGTAGTTAATGCAATTCTTCTAATGTGCCTGGAGACATGAAGTTTTCTGAAATGAAAGTTGGGGGGAAAAGCAATACAAAAACATTTTTTTTTCTTACCCTGAAGTCTCTCATCAGTGAATATTTTGTTTGTTTGGTTCCAGGTGCTATCTATAAATATAATTTTTTTCAGTGTTGTCTCTTTGCACTTGCTGTCATTCAAATCCGATTCTTCAGTTTTCTTGCGTTTACTAGATGGCTTGTCAGGGTCATCATTTTTGTCTCTCACATTATTTTGAATCCTTTTTTGCAGATGAAAAGAAATATCTTTTATTGAGACAGACTTAGGTCCCGGAAAAATGAGTGCAACCTAAAGCAAAGAAACTTAATTTAATAGTGTGTAATTATGATCAGAATGAATAAATTCTGACTTAAAACTTTAAGAGAAAAAATGTGAATATCTAAGAAACAAGCATTAGTTTCTACTACATTCATTTCTTTAATACATGTAGTAAAGTTTTTGACTCTTCCCAAGTAATTTATAATCATTATATACTACCCAAAAGTTTTATTTCAAAATAAGTTACTCATCTGTGGATAAAAGCCTAGTTAATTATACCTTGAAAGAGAAAACTAAATTTTATAATAGTCTGTAAAAGAGCCACTGAAAAGTGCTCAATAATTAAATACAATTTTTACCTATATAATAGACAAAACAAATGATACACAGTCAATACTGGTAAGCAATTTGGCAAAATAAAGAGTCTTGAAATGTTCACACTCTTTCATCAAATAATTTCACTTATGGGCATTTAATAAAATAATCCTAAATATCCATATACCCACCACACCCATAATATTTATTAAAAACGTATCTATTACATTGAAAAATTAAAACTGAAAAATGTAACTTTAAAGGAAAAATTCTAGAAATTACAATACTTCTTTTCTTTTAGCATTTTACTGAGAGTTTATATACTCCTAGAGCCTTTAATGTCTGAATGGCTGCTATCATAAAGCAGGCATCCAGTTTTTTTTGTTTGTTTTTTTGTGAAGTGTATTTGTGAAATGGATAGATGTTGGTATTATAGAATTATGAGTATTTTATCCCCCATAGTTTGATGTACTTACCAAATTTTCTTTAACAAGCATCATTTTTAATATTAAAAAGAAGCATTATAAAAATAAAAGAAACAAAAAATCTTGCATTTTTAAACTTTAAACTTACATACAAATTGCTTAAACATCTACAATCCGTGACAATATTCCCCATGTACTCAATTAGCAAAGTCTAAGGGTTTTAGATTTTCTTGGATTGTAAGATATCACATCACTTTATTGAATCTAGCACTGTGTTCTATTTAATTAACATAAATTATACCTAGTTGACTAGAGAAGGAAACGCAAATATATTCCTAGATCCAAAATTCAGGTATTATTTACAAACACAATTTTCTATATAAACTCAATAAAAAACATACTTATGGAAAAGGAAAAAACCAAGGTTCTTTTGAGAACAACTGAGTATATGTATTAAGTTTTAATTTTGTTTCTGATTAACACCACCAATAAATGATCCCCAATATACCTAAAAGGGGTTACAAATTTCTTTAAAAAGTACACAATGTCTACCTCTTTTTGAGATCTATTACAAAATTACTTTTCACCAATGTGAAATTCCAACTATGTGAAAACCAATTAAGAATCTAGAAGTGAGCAAAGAAGGCCTCTGAGCTAACAAAATAAATGTTACAAAAGCCATATACTAAAGCTCTAAATTTAGGGAGAATTCCTGAAAATTTTTTTCATCCAGTCTTTCTTTTCTTCTTTTGGATAAATTCCAGTAATGTTTGTAATCTGGTTTATCAGTCTGCATCAAATTAGACCACCTATGAGTCGTATGTATGGGCAGGACAATGAAGTGGCGAGAAAGTAAAAGTAGGCATAATAATATTGGCAAAGTGTAAAAACTTAAAGAAATAATTCAGAAAAAGTGATAAAGTGGAAAAACTCAAAAAAGCCCAACAAATCTAGGATCTTCTGATTTCTTCAGACACCAGTGAAGTAAAGTGTATGTTGTTTAGAGCTAGATCATTAAGAAAAGTATTAAACTGTGTTCAAGTAAATTCTGAAAGACATTGGAATTTCAAGTTCATTTTTAGCTTCAATGTGAACAGTTGTAAGAAATAAGCTACCTACTTCATGGTCCTCTTCTTCATATTCTGGAATACAAGGGTATGTGTAAATATTTACAAATTCAGGTGCTAAGAGTTTCGCATGTATAGCAGTACTTTTGCCATCTGTTTCATTTGGATGTTTAATGATGTCAATCTTCAGTGGAAGCTAAAATTAAAGAAAAGAAAAAAAAGACAAGTGAACAAACCACCTCCCCCTGCTCCTGAGGGGTGATCGGGGAAGCCATTGCCACTCATACCCACTGATGGTGCCAGCCCCTCTCAAACCCTCTGCTAGCACTGGTCTCAATCGCTCTGCCCCATCAGTGGGTGGGAGCAGGGCTGGCACTGGCAGCATCCTAACTAATAAAAGAATGATATGCAAATTAACCATCACTCTGCTACACCCACCAGTCATGCCCACCAGCCAATCAGGGCAAGTATGTAAATAAACTCAACCAAGATGGCTACAGGTACAGAGAGCAGAAGAGAGGCTTGAGTTTCCCAGGCAATGGAGGAAGCCAAGCTTTCCACCTGCCCTTGCGGGCCTAAGCCTACACTGAAGGCTACAAAGTTTCAATTATATAAGGTAAACAAATCCAAACAGAAATAATGGCAGCCACAGAGCAAGCAGAAGGCTTGGCTCTGCTCCAGGCTACAAAGTTTCAATTGTAGAAGATAAATAAATTCCAGATACCAGGGCCTCCGCTTTGGTCACCAAGGGGTGTGGCTGGCCTGCAAACCACCACCTTGCCCAGGCTTCCCACACCCCAAGGGAACCCCACCCTGATCCGGGACACCCTTCAGGGCAAACCAGCCGGCTCCCACCCATGCACTAGGCCTCTATCCTATCTAATAAAAGAGTAATATGCAGATTGACCATCACTCCAACACACAATATGGCTGCCCCCATGTGGTCAAAGATCCTGCCCCCAAGTGGACACAGATGGCCACCACAAGATGGCCAGCAGTGGAGGTCAGTTGGAGGTGATCAACCTTGCAGGGGAGGGCACTTACGGGTGACCAGGTAGGTCTGCAGAGGAGGGAAGATGGGGGCAAACAGGCTGGCAGAGGAACAATTAGACATCAATCAGGCTCGCATGGGAGTGGTTAGGGGGTGATCAGGCTGGCAGGCAGAAGCAGTTAGGGTCAATCAGGAAGGCACACAGGCGAGCAGTTGGGAGCCAGCAGTCCTGAATTGTGAGATGTCCCAGATTGGAGAGGGTTCAGCCTGGGCTGAGGGACACCCACCCTCCATGCACGAATTTTGTGCACCAGGCCTCTAATATAATAATAAAAGGGTAATATGCTAATTAGACCGGAAGCCCAGGTTCTGGGTGCCTGCCAGTGGCAGCCCAGAGGGAAGGGTGCTTGCTGACAGCCAGAGGGAAGCCTGGATCCCAGGTGCCAGAGAGAAGCTGGTACCAGCAGCCAGGGAAGGAAGGGCTACTCCTGCACGAACTTTTGTGTATCAGGCCTCTAGTCCTATGTAATAAAGAAGTTAATATGCTAATTAGACCAGATGGCGGAATGACCTTCTGGAATGACCAGTGGGCAGACAGCAGGGTCACAGGGCTGTAAGGCAGCCGGGGCTGCAAGGCGTACTCTTGCATGAATTTCCTGCATTGGGCCTCTTCAACCGTTGACTGTCTGACCATCCGACTAGCAGTTATGATGCACAATGACCACCAAGGGGCAGACGCTCAACATGGGAACTGCTGAGCTGCGGTGACTTGGCAGCTGCAGTTCTTAGGTGATGCACCAGGAACCAGAGAGGAGGGAGTCAAATTCCAGGTGTGTCACCGAGAACTGTTCTCTCGAAATCCGGGACCCCTTGGGGGATGTCGGAGAGCTGGTTTCGACCCAATCCTTGCAGGCCAGGCCAAGGGACCTCACTGGTGCACCAGGCCTCTAGTGTAGTAATAAATTCTTTGATTACATAGATATGACGGTTTACAGATTTTTATACTTTATATATTATAATAGTAGTCTTGGAAAGCAACAAAAGTATAAGCTAAGCAATCAATTCACATATGTTTTAAAAATCTGGCTTTAAATTACTATAAATTATAACATAGCCCAATGAGTAGGTCTTAGTCTTTTCAATTTTAGTTTTGTTTTAATCACTGACAGGTGCTCCATATTCATGTATAGGACAGAGCTATCCCCATTCTACAAAAGCCTAAACAAAAATGAACCCTACCTAGTTTTCTCAGAGCAGTCCAAGGACCTGAGGCAGTTTTTGAAGCTCCTTCAGGCAGTCTATAAACTTGTCTCTTGTAGTATTTATGTTTATACTACATTTTTTCTATGTTGTAAATTAATTATAATCATCTGTTTAAAAAACAATTGATTTCATTAAAAATAACACCATCTCAGATCTTAATGTTTTGGAGACCTGGACCTGTTTTTCCACAGACAAGAAAAACAAATAGGTTTCGAGTCTATAGGATTAAATTACTATTTATATAATTCATTTTCCTAATGATGCTATTTATCAAGTGTATCCATTACATTAGAACAGGAAAATATGAAATGTCTTTTTAAAATCTATGTTCCTACTTTCAAAAATTAAATTTCTTACCAACCTTCACAAGTGGCAACTGCTCCACAGGTACATTTTCAACTGGGACATAACATGTATAGCAGTAGAACATTCTTGAACCACCACATTTAAGACATTTTGATCTTCCATTTTGCTGAGCTTTTTGAAGAACTTCTTGCGATGCTAAGCATAAGTTTTGAAGAGGATCTTCCGCATCTATGGAAGTAGTTTGTGGTTGTTTTTTTTCAACAAATCTTGAATTATTTTCTTCCCTTTCTTTAAGTAATATAGGTGGGCTGAGAGACATTTTTCATTCAAAATGAAGTTTAACATCTATTTCTATAACACGTTATCATAAGTGCACTGAAAAAAAAATAGTGGGGGGCAAAATATAAACATTTTACTCACTGTCTCCACAAATAAAATTACTCAATTTAATTCACAACTGTGTGCTGTTTTTAGTATTAACAAAAGTTAGCAAGTTTTTAATTCACTAAATTAGCATACTTTTGAATTAAATTTATTGGAAATACAAAATTAAAATGCAATAAACTCAAAACCATAAATTATCCTTTGGAGGGACTCTCCCATAAAAACAGAAAGGTGCTCTCATAGGAAAATTATTTCAAATATAAAGGTTAGGTAGCAACAATCCATTTTTCAGTGACTCTCTTTGTTCTTAAAACAGTCATTTTGTTTTATATTAGAAGTGCAATGATTTAATGCATCAGCCAGGAATGTATTCAAACTAATAAGCTCTTTGAAGGACTTAGACACTTCCTCAAAGTGGACATACAAATGGCCAAGACACATATGAAAATTTGCTCAAAGTTGCTAATCATCAGAGAAATGCAAATTAAATGACAATGAGCTATCACCTTACACCTGTCAGAATGGCTACCATCAACAAATTAACAATTGACAAGTGCTGGCCAGGATGTGGAGAAAAGTAAACACTAGTACACTGCTGGTCAGAATGCAGACTAGTTCAGCCACTATGGGAAACAGTATGGAGTTTCCTCAAAAATTAAATATGGAACTGCCATTTGACCCAATGATTCAACTTCTAGGAATATATCCTTAATAAACCTGAATGACCAATCAGAAAGAACAGATGCACCCCTATGTTCAAAGCAGTACAATTTACGATAGCTAAGATCTGGAAACAGCCCCAAGTGCCCATCAGTAGATGACTGGATAAAAAGAGATATGGTACATTTACACCATGAAATATTATGCAGCAGTAAAAAAAGGACCTCTTGCCGAGACCGGTTTAGCTCAATGGATAGAGCGTCGGCTTGGGGACTGAAGGGACCCGGGTTCGATTCCGGTCAAGGGCATGTACCTTGGTTGTGGGCATGTCCCCAGTGGGGGTGTGCAAGAGGCAACTGATCGATGACTCTCTCTCATTGATGTTTCTAACTCTATCTCTCTCCCTTCCTCTCTGTACAAAATCAATAAAATATATTAAAAAAAAAAAAAAAAAAAAAAAAAAGGACCTCTTACCCTTGAAACAGCATGGACAGACCTGGAGAGTACTATGCTAAGTGAAATATGCCAGTCAGAAAAAAGATAAGTATCACATGATCTCACTTATATGTGGAATCTAAAGAACAACATAAACTGATGAAATAGATCCAGAGAAATAGAAGCATGGAACAGACTGTTGAATCTCAGAGGGAAGGTGGGGGTGGGTGAGTAGGTGGGAAGAAATTAATCAAAGAATTTATATGTATATATGCATCACCCATGGTCATATACAATACTGTGGGGAAGGCCTGAGATGGGGAACAGGTGCAAGCTAAAAGGGATCAATGGGGGAAATTTCAACAATCAAGATTTAAAAAAAAAATAAGTGAAGAGAAAAGGAGACTTTATTCCTAAGAAACTAACTGGTAAAAATCCATCATTCTACAACTTAAATTGGAAACAAATTCTCCTTCTACCCTACACCCCCAGAAAGCAAATTACTCACCAAGTTGCATCAATTCTACCTTACACGTAATCCTCTACTTTTAGTTTCGAAAGGTAAGGATTCTAGGGCCTTTCTTACATCTCTACCTCTGTGCACTTATTGATTCCACATATTTAACATGGAAAAAGGCACCTTAACTTGGAGCACCTTTGAGGGAAGTTACGTGTCCTAGCAGATAGTCAACTCTGCAAGAGCAGAGCCCTTTACTCCACTCACCTATCCCTGTGTCTGATGCAGCAGGAGTAAGTCAACAAATACCTAACTAAATCAAAACCATTCTAAAAAAAAGGGGGGGGGGGAAGTATACTGTATGCATCTTGCTACTGAAGTTGCTGAAAAACTAATTTTATGGGCCAAATGCAGCCCGGCAGACCTCTTTTTGCAAAACAGTACTAATGGAAAGGCTCCTAACTACAACCAAGTTGATGTACCTCCTAATGAAACATCACAGAACTGTTCTGTATTATATATTTATTAAACCCCCTTCAAATATTTCCAGGAATATTTTTAAGAACCCTGGTCACATACTCACATCCACTGTTTAAATTCCAAGGTATCACCTTTTTCATACAGGGCCCATGGCCACTCTCAGAGCACCCACCAAGTGGTAGGCATCAGTACTTCCTTAGTTGTACACCATGGGCGCTTTTATCCGCTAATTCCACGGACTTGACACCTTTAAGCAGGGGTCTTCAAACTTCTCTCATTATGAGAATCACCTGGTGGAGGTGTTAAAACACAGATTCCTGATAGCACTTCTTATAGTTGGGATCCGGGAATCTGTGTTTTAACAACTCCATCAGGTGATTCTCATAATGAGAGAAGTTTGAAGACCCCTGCCTTAAAGTGATAATAAACTTCCTTATTTGTCCTGCATTTCCTCCAAATAATCCGATATAAGTAACAGGCTCCTTTGCTTATTATGTAAGCACTAGAGGCCAGTGCACGAAATTTGTGCACAAAGTGGTGGTGGGGGGGTAGTCTTTCAGCCCTGCCTGCACCCTCTCACAATCCAAGACTGCTGGCTCCGAACTGCTTGCCTGCCCAGCCTGCTTCATTGCCCCTAACCATTCTGCTTGCTTGCCTCATCGCCCATAACCACCGGCCTGTCTGATTGCCACAACTGCTCACACCTGCCTGCCTGATGGCCCATCATATTTCACTTTTATTATTATAGATTATTATTATAGATTATCTTAATACTTTAAATACTACAATGCATGACATACTATGTCTGTGCCAAGTTTCTCCTGCCGCAAACCACTGCAAACACTAAAAATACAAACTTTGCCAGGACAGACTTTCTTTGAGGCGGAAAGCACCAACAATAATTGTTGGGGGAGGGAGGGAGGTGGAGGAGGGAGGGGATTTGTTTTGTTTTTTTGAGAAAAATCTGAAGCCTTTTTCCCAAGGGGCCCGCAACAACCAAAAAATGCCAGCGCCGCGCAGGGACCCCGGGAGGACCTCGGTGCGGGCTCGGCCAGCGGCGCCTGCTCCCCGGCCCCCGGAGGGGCGCGCGGACCGCCCGGGAGGGAAGCCGGAGTGGGACTCACACCTGCAGCCCGCGCTCCTCGCTCCGGTCCACGCGTCCTCCGCCGCCCGGAGCCCGTGGGAGCGCCCGCCCTGCTCGTGCGTGAACGCGGCGGAGCGCTTTCCGGGCGACACCGGAGGGCGGAGCCGGCCGTTGCTAAGGCCGTTGCTAGGTCCCTGCGTGGGCGGCGCGGCCGGCGGCGGAGGTAACGGCGGGAGGAGGCGCGGAGGGCTCACGGAAGTCCCGCCCCCCCGCCGGTCTGGTCCCTGAGGTGGGGGTGGGCCTGCTGCCTGCGGAGCGGGCCTCGGGTTGCCCGGGGTCCGAGGCCGGCCTCACAGCCGCCTGCCTGGCTCCCCCCGTTCTCCTCTCAGGCCGGCCGGGGCCGCGGAGGGGGGACTGCGGTTCTGGAAACACTCCCCCAAGGTGGAGTAGTTGCTGTGAGTTGTGGAAATGCCCATCCCACCGACCGCGTGTCCCTGATACCAACCCCAAAAGACCTCAGTCCTGAGAACTTGGGTCTAGTCCTTGTGCATGGCTGTGTCAGGACACGTATGTGTGGTAGGAGGACTTGGTTTGTTTACAGACTGCACATGCTTTTGTGCGCTTTTCCAGTTTGAAAGTAAGCACACGCCATATACGGATAGATATTCCCTCCACCCTCGCCCCCCAGTCCAAAGACAAGCCAAACCTAAAAAAGTGTATGATCACAACTGAGAGTTGGGAATACAAGGACTAGATATGGAGCAATCTATTGTGCAGTATGAATTCAGCAAGTGAAATACAGGACAGAACCTTGACCTGGAGGAGGTTAACATATCAAGTTAAGCATGGGGAGTACAGAAAATGTAATATTACTAATAAATTGTAGGATTTTCAAAACGGCTCAGAATGGACTGGCCAATGAAGGCTTATTGGTTGGACTTAAGGCCTTTTATTTAAGAATGATTGGGCTGGAGCAGTGTTTTTCAAGGGAATTGTGTGTGGGACCCATTGTGGAGTTCCTATTTGTAAGGAAGGAAGTCTATTTAGCCAAAACTACGCTTTTAAAAAATGAAATAGTATAATGTGAAAATATTAGTGCATGGCACTTGGTAAGGTTAAGCATTGCTTTATGGAGTTTAAAATTATTGCCGCAACTTTCGTAGTGAGGCTCAGGACCTGAAGGAGGGGCCGACGCACAAATGAAAATGCTAAACAAGAAATATTTAGAAGGCATTAGGGGGAACCTCTTTTCCTGAAGAGACACACCGAGTCCTGGCCTAGTCCGCTTTTTATTCAGTTTTAGATACACACCTTCTCCTCAGTAAAGCACGGCAAACATATAGGAGATCAGACAATCTCAAATATCCAGTAAACATTTACTTGGAGGCTTTCAAGTCAGGAGATGCTTTGAGCCACCTCTCGCTCAACATGAGCAATTGGTGCCTAGCATCAGCCCTGCTGATGCTCAAAGTCCATCCACCTTCTGCATTCCTTGGTGCACACTTATGACAGTTTGACAGTTTGGCATGCAGTGGCTTCCCACAAGTTATGTCTATACACACACACACACACACACACACACACACTGAGTGGCCAGATTATTATGATCTCTGAATGCATAATAATCTGGCCACTCAGTATATATCCTATATAATAAAAGGCTAATATGCAAATTGTCCCCTTAACCAGGAGTTCGACCAAGCAGGCAGGCCGGTCAACCGCCCATGTCCCCTCCCCCTGGCCAGGCTGGCCGGACTCCACCCATGCATGAATTCATGCACCAGGCCTCCCCCCGCCCCCACACACACACACACATACACTGAGTGGCCAGATTATGCCTTCAGAGGTTATCATAATCTGACCATTCAGTGTGTATATGCACACAATTTATATAATATACATACATATACTAGGTCATTTTATAAAGTCTATTTCTTATTTTGTGTTTTTCTTTAAAAAGTTTGAAAGTCACTGCTTTAGGGAGAAAGATGAACTTTCTGGGTAAGAGAAGTAGCAATAACAAAAGTCTCCAAACCAAGAATAAATCACATCTTTTTCTTCTTTAACTGCTTTAGTTCAAGTGCACAGATTACGAAACAAATGATATGATTACTTAATTGAAGTTGCTCCAAAATATGTGTCTTAAAACAACCGTTTTATTATGTTCATGAATTGTGTGTTCAGTAGGGCACAGAAGGATAGCTTTTTCTGATAACTCAGCTGGGAAGACTATGCATGCTAGCAGAGCTCTGATGTATGGTCTCTCCATGTGGCCTGGGCTTCCTCATAGAATGATACCTCCTCGTGTAGGTCCATGTGCTGAAGTCAAATGTTGCAATGGACAAGGCAGAAACTGCATGTCCTTTTGAATCTAGCCTCAAAAAATAATATAGTGTCACTTCTCTCACATTCTTTTGGTTATGAATCACAAGGCCTGTCCAGAGTTTAGGCGAAGGGACATAGAAGTTGCTTCTCAAAAGATTGTCAAATAATTTGTGGTCATATATAATTAATTCTTAAAATCAACTTAGTAAATTTCTCTGCTGACAGAGGAAATCCCCAGATTTCAGTGGTTTAATACAATAAACTTTTATGTCTCACAAGAAATTGATCACGGGTGTTTTTAGTCAAATGAAATGTTAGACTTAAAGATACAGGTTTCTTTTTCTTTTTTTAGTGGTTCTGCTCTTTCTTTTAGGACTTGGAGTCCACAGCTGACAAGAAAGAAAGACTGATGAATCACACAAAAAGTTTTAGAGATCAGCCCTAAAAATGGCTTTTTTTTTTTTCATATCACTTTTCCCAGATTTCATTGGCCAGAAATTAGTCCCCAGGCTGCAAGGGAGCCTGGGAAATGTAAAGAAACATATGTATATTGGTGAGCATTAATAGTTTGCCACATTCTAAGCTTTTAACCAAAACCGTGGTTCCCAACCTCTCCACTCTATTTTTAACTTTTTTCAAAAGGAAAATTCTTTGAGGTCTTTTTAATATTACTTCTGTTATTTACTCCATATTTCAAAATATAGCTATACTGCAATTTCTTGATTTTTCAATCTCAGACATTATTCATTGACTTTCTCCTATGGAAGTCAATGACAAAGCTCTTTTATCATACCATCCCTAATTATTCAAACATCTCCCCCCCACACCCGTTTTTCATCCCCTCATCTCTCAGCATAATAATATCACAGTTTTTGTTTAAATCAACATTTGTAAATATCAGTCAACCCTCACCATGTTAACTTTTCATGCAACCTGGTACTTTCCTTTGTCTTAATAAAATGCCATATTTATATTTACTCTTTTGTAATCTGCCCTCAAATATTCTTCCAAAGTGCTAAAACGTCACAATCAAACACATCGGTTAATCTAGAAGATTAACTTTTTATACTCCAGATAGTCCTTCTAGACTAAAGCATTATAAACTCTAGTTCCTTCAGTATTGGTTGCTTTTACAATCCAATACTGCTCTCCTGTGTTGGATCCCTTGTTTACTTTTTCTTTGTTTAGCCCTTTGTTTTTATGAAACATAGCCTCCAGTACTTCCTGAGAAAAGGTGAATGGGAGTATGGTAGACAGATAATGAACACCCCCAAAGATGTCCACATCGTAATCTCCAAATCCTAGGAATATGTTTTCTTTTTTTTTCTTTTTTCTTTTTTAATATATTTTATTGACCTTCCCACAGAGAGGAAGGGAGAGAGATAGAGAACTAGAAACATTGATGAGAGAGAAACATCGACCAGCTGCCTCTTGCACACCCCCACTGGGGATGTGCCCGCAACCAATGTACATGCCCTTGGCCGGAATCGAACCTGGGACTTTTCAGTCTACAGACCGACGCTCCACCGCTGAGCCAAACCGGTTTCGGCAGAATATGTTTTCTTATATGGCAAAAGGAACCTTGCATAGCACATGCAATTAATTTAAGTTCCTGAGATGGGGAAAATAACCATGAATTATCTGGTTGGGCCATGCATAATCTCAAGTGTCCTTATAAGAGGAAGATAAGAGGATGGAGAGGGGAGAAGATGCTGCATTGCTGGCTTTGAGGTTGGAGGAAGGAGCTGAGGAGTAAAGAAATGCAGATGACTCCAAGAAACTAGAGAAGGCAAGGAAACAGATTCTCCCTTACTGCCTCCAGAAGGAGCATAGCCTTGCAGACCCGGTTCAGACTCCAGTATCCAGGATTATGAGATAATAAACCTGTGCTGTTTTAAGTGACTACGTTTGTGCTCCTTTGTTATAGCAGCAATATGAAACTACCCTGTTTCTCTGAAAATAAGACAGTGTCTTATATTGATTTTTGCTCCCAAAGATGCGCTAGGTCTTATTTTCAGGGGATGTCTTATTTTTCTATGAAGAAGAATATGGTACACATTTATTGTTAAATGAAAATAAAGGAAATTTATTACCTGTATACGGTATGGTAGTACGGTAGTTGTCAACACAAACCAGAATCTGTGAATCTGGTTTCACAAAACTGTGAATCTTATAGTATCAAGAATTTACTCATTTATTCAATGACAATCATATCATCATAACAATCCAATTCCTGAATTTCCTGGTGAATTTCTTGTGACTCCATTTCTTTCAGAATCAGTGGACCAAATCTCTCATGTTTAGCCTAGGGGGTTCTTATTTTCGGGGGGATGCCTTATATTTCACTCAGAAGGAAACCTGTAAGTAGGTCTTATTTTCAGAGGATGTCTTATTTTGGGGGAAACACGGTAAAACAGGGAGAAAATGTGATTTTTTTTTAACTACTTTTCAGATCTGAAAAATGTCATACACTTGATAGTCTGCCTACATTTAAATTTCTAGGTCGAAATCATTTTGCTGGAATAATCCTCTATTGCCAGATTTTTTCAGTTCCAACTCCCCCCACACTTCCCCCCAACAGACATTTTGTTTAATATTTAATTAATACCATTATATTTGTAACTTTAAAAAATTCTCTATTACCTTACAATATGCTGTTTTGGTTTCAGGGATGTATTACCTTGTATCTTTCTAAGAATCTTAAATACATTTTAAAGATTTTCTTCTATTCCTATTTGTATCCATTCAGATTTTATTTTCAGTTATTTGTTTGGATTTCTATGTTTTTGTTTTTATCTTTTTAAAAATTCTATAGTTATTATTTAAATATCAAGTAGTCCTTGTATTTCTATTCATATTGGAGAATGAGAATTAAATGGTGATAGGAAGTTCAGTGTGCCTGAACAGTGGTTGTCAAACAAATAGCTTCATAATAGGATCAAATTTTACATTGGAATATCCTCAAATATCTACAGAATAAAGGCACTAATGAAAATAAGAGCAGAAATCAATAATATTAAAAACAAATCTACACTGGAGTCCTTCTTAGAAAAGATTAATAAAATTGGTAAGTCTTTGTGGGGGGAGGGGAGAGACTGACCAAGAAAAAAGGAGGAAACTAAAAGTACAAATACTAGTAATCAAAAAGGATACATCCTGCAGATAGTAAAAACAATAAGAAGATATTGTCAAACTATTTGACATTTTTATTTTTATTGATAAACACAATTTATCAAAACTGATGTAAGAGGAACTAGCCTTCCTGAATGATCCTATATTAATTTTGAAAAATTGTATCTGTATGGGTCTGCTCTGGCTACCATAATAGAATACCATGTAGTAGGTGGCTAGAATAATAATAATTTATTTTCTCACAGTTGTGGAGGCCAGAAAACCAAGATCAAAGTGCCATTAGGGCTGGTTTCTGGTGAGATCTTTCTTACTGGCTTATACGTGGCTGCCTTCTCACTGTGTTCTCACTTGGCCTTTGTGCCTTCAGGGAAATACCTCTCTGGCACCTTTTCCTCTTCTTATAGGGATTGGGGTCCCACCCTCAAGACCTCATTTAACCTTGATATCTTCCCCAAAGGCAACATATCCAAATATACTCACATTGGGGGGTAGGGCTTCGACATAGGAATTGGATTGGGGAGAAACACAATCCTCATCCTATATAATAAAAGGCTAATACGCAAATTGTCCCCAGAGGCTGGAGTTTGATCAATTGGAAGTTAGACGTGCACTGACCACCAGGGGGCAGGACCAGCGAGTGGGTTGTGCCAGGCCAAGGTGGGTGCAAGTGGGGGCCCAATAGCCCTGCTGATTGCCCCACAGATTGGTCCTGATCACCTGCCAGGCCCAGGGACCCTACTCCTGCATGAATTTCATGCACTGGGCTTCTAGTCAATACTATAACAGTATTCTCAATTTAAAACTCCTCCTTAAGTTCAGATTTAGGTATTATCACCTGCAAGGTCTATCAAACATTTAAAGAAGAAATAGAATTGATCTTTCAGATTCCAAATTCTTTCAGAGAATAGAAAAAAAATTACCTTTTTTTTTCCCCCCAGAATAACCTTAATTCCAAATTTTAACAATGATATTATAATAGAGAAAATTTCAGGCCAATATTTCTCATAAACAATTTGGCAAAGCTTCATGATGAATGTTTCCTCTTCCATTGCTTTAAAAGATTGTGTATTCTGCAATCGTATGTTCTATAAATGTCAGGTTAAGTTTCTTGATAATGTTCAAATTATCTCCTTATTGATTTGTGTATATACCTGATTTATCAATTACTCAGAGAGATATGTTAAGAACTCCAAATATAATTGTGGTTTTGACAATATTTCTCATTAGTTTGATCAATTTTTGCTACATTTATTTTGAAGCTCTTTTATTAGTTGCAAATACATTTAGCACTGATATGTCTTCTGAATGAACTGGCTTTATCAATGTGAAATAACCTTAATTAGGTATGGTAATACTGCTATCTTGAAGTCTACTTTATATGATATTAATTTAGACACACCAGTTTTCTTAAGATTAGTATTCCAAATGTTTCAGTAGTTTCTTTTTAAAATTTCTGTTTCTCTTGAAATACACCATTATTTTCATGAACTATATAATCCAATATATATTGTAAACCTTTAACATATTTATAATAGTTGTTTTAAAATCCTTATCTGCTAATTACAATACTTGTATTCTCAGTGAATTCATACGTATGAACTGTTTTCTCTTGATGATGGGTCCCATTTTCCTACTTCTCACATGTCTTTCAATTGTCTTATTGTGCATTAGATATTATGTGGAAAAAATGTGGAGACTGAAGTTTCAGTTCTAAGAGAGCACAAGCCTTTTTCTTACGTTGGCATTTAAAGTGAGAGGCTGTTCCTTTGAAATCTTTCTGTGCTTGTATTAAGCTTTAGTGTTGGCTGCAGCTTTCATTAGGTTGAGTTCACCTGTGATTAACCCACCTCCAGCATCCCTTCAAAGCCACCTCTTAACATCTTGTCAGTATTTCATTGGAACGGGTTTGGACTGAAGTTTTATATATTTTGGGTTCACCTTTCGAGTCAACTTTGTCAGGGCCTTGGAACCCCATTATTATAAGAACGCACTAGCCTATGTAAATGCTCTAACTTCCCAGCCTCCTCCACAGCTGCTGCTTTAAAAAAAAAGAAAAAAAAGAATTGGGAGTGAGGTGTAGGCTGTAGGGGTAATTTTGTGTGTGTGCATGTTTGGGTGTCTTTCAGACTCCTGTTTGTTTCCCCAGCTCACATTGACACCTAAGGCCCAGCCTGACTTCTCTTCGTCTCTGCAAAATTACTGAATCATGGGAAGCCAACACAGATCTTACTACTGGGTAAGGAAGCTGCAACAGTGTCATGCTCGCTTATAAAGGGCATATTTCTCTCTGGGTTTCAGGTCAGCAAGGCTGCCAGGTAAGGCAGCTTTATGGGTTTTCAAACTGTGCAGTTGCACAGGGCCTCATGACTAGGCAGCCCTACACTTGGTTTAATTATATAACTGTTCCTGCTCACTGGCATCCTGCACTCTTCCCTAACCCACAGAAAGGTAAGCTTTTTATTTGATCCAGGTTTTTCTTGTTGTTACCATGGAAGCATAAGTGTTTTGCATTGTCCTACATCCTAACATGAGCCTTTCTTCCTTTTAACTGAGAACTTTGGGATTTTATGTTGAAATTAGCTGAACTTTCCTACACAAGTTTCATTTCCTTAATTCATTTTCTAATTCCCTTTCATTGAACTGTGGATATTACTATAGTGCTTTGTACTAGAAGTGATTTGTATGAGACAGAGATTACAAGAAAAAAAGTCAAAATGTAATTGGTTTTAATTTGGCTCCTTTATATTCTGATCATTTCAAAATACACTCAAAATTCTTTCTAGCCAAACTACTATAACTATCCCTAAACATATATCATGGACATTTTTTCCTCTACGCATTTTGTGTTACTTCGCTCTTATACCTGCGCTTCTCAATCTGACTTGCCCTAGAGTTTCAGGCTTTCCATAAAATTCCCCTAACAGCTGTATGCATCTTTGTATCTGAACACTTATTTTTTGTGATTGTTACACATATTCTTTATTTTTTCATTACTGTATTATCTATTAATATACTTACTTATATTCATCATCTATTTTAAACAATATTAAGAGAATGAAATATTATCTTCAAACTCAGATGTGGTTATTTTTACAGAATATGGCCTTGTGAATTTCTAATCTTGATCATTTTATCTATTGATAAGAAATATGTGTTTTAGTACATTAAAATGTAATGCAACCTTTTCAGACAGATCATCATCAGACCATTAGGGTATTAATAGTATAATAGGATATTCTGAATTTCTCTTATTTTGCTCTTCTCACTAGTTTTTTTTTATTTAAAAAAATATATAAACACGCATTTCTCTGACATTCATCTACTCATTTATTAATTAATGAACACTTAAAGTACTTATTATGCATTGGCCATAGGCCAGCCTCTGTGTGAAATTTTGACAATTCTGCAGTGATTACACCATAGTTTCTATCCTTGTAAAAATACAAAATCTGCTGTCTGTTACCATAGAGAACCTTTTTGGGGACTAAATTAGGCTTCCTAGAAAAAATGACTTAGAATTTGATATTTGATGTAAGAGTTAAATAGGCCAAGAATGGGTTGGAGGAAGAGGGTTTGGGACAGGGAGCCTTCTAAGCAGCAGGAAGAACGTGTACACAGTCTCCAGGCAAGGAAGAGCAATATGTAGTCTCGATTAAAATTAACTTGTCTAATGAAAGGATACATTTTTAACTTACAAAGAAACTGCTAATAAAAATAGGGTTATTATTTATTATACTGAAACATCCAAATATTTAAAGTATTTTTACCATGTCACTAGTGTGGCTTTTTAAATACTTCATCTTCAAGAGGAGCATGTTATTACATTTTGGCTCTGGATTTGTTGTAGACACCCTCCCAGAGAGCCCAAAATATCTTTTAACTCTTGTAGGAATTTGAAATGAGGACATTCAGGAGGATTCGTATGGAGCTTTTCTGTAGGAGTCAGGTAGCAGAGGGAATCCTCTTAATAGAATTTGGGTTGGAGGCACAGAATTTAAACACTGGTCTCTGTCACTTTTCACAGTTCAGGGACTTTACAAAGTGAGTATTTTACAGTATCTTATGGCTCTGAAAATTATAACAAGTTGTGTTTTTATTTACTTAAACTCTAAGCATTATTAACAATCTGAATTTATGTTAATGAACAATATTGATTTTTCTTTATTAGCGACCTCCAAGGAACATTGAAGAATTCTTAAAGTTACACAATTTGGTGAGTAGAGCATCCTGTTTTATGTACCAGTACATCTTTTAAAATATCAGTCCTGGAGATGGAAAAAGCTTAGGGAAAAGCTTTAATGATAGGATATAATAACTCTTATGGGTTCCATTTTTTGTTGTTCTTTCATTATTGAATTTATTGGGGTGACATTGGTTAATAAAATTATACAAGTTTCAGGTTTACAATTCTATAATACATCATCTGTATATTGTGTGTTCATCATCCAAAGTCAAATTTTCTTCCATAATCATTTATTGCTCATTTACTCTCTTCTACTTCTCCCTCCACCAATTCTCCTTAACCTCTGATAATTGCCATATTGCTGTCTGTGTTTACAAGGTGCAGTTTCTTGGTTTGTTTGTTTAATCCCTTTACCTTTTTAACTCAGCCCTCTGACCCCCTTCCCTCAAATAGCTTTCAGTCTGTTTTCTATATCTATGAGTCTGTTTCTATTTTGTTTATTCATTAGATTCTACATATAGGTGATATTATGTGATATTTGTCTTTCTCTGACTGGCTTATTTCATTTAGCATAATACTCTCCAGGTCCATCCATGCTGTTGAAAAAGGTAAGATTTTCTTCTTTTGTATGACTGAGCAGTACTCCATTGTGTAATTGTACCACAGCTTATCTGTGCACTCACCTACTAATGGGAGTTTGAGCTGATTCCACATCTTGGCTATTGTAAATAACACTACAATGAATGTGGAAAATACATTTCAATGTAGGAAATTTTTATAAATAGTTTCCTCCTTTTAGTAACTATTCTATCTCATAGCTGTTCCTTCTTGTCAATATTCTATTCTCTCTTCCACTTTTAAAAATTCTAGTCCAATGTCCTATCAGAAGAATTATACAGACATACCTGTGTTGTTTTGCTAATATAAAATTTTTGTCTCGTATATTTACACCTTAAAGAAAATGTGACAGTTTTTCTTACTTACATCATTTACATTCACCTCAGCTGAGACAGGTATTGCAGTGGTGTTACATCAGTATTCTTTGATGTTGAATCAGGGTAAAATATTTAAAATGTGTTTTTATGTTGAAGCTCCAGTTTCCATTATGTGTAACTACTGACTCCCAGAGTTATTGGGATTGAGTGGGTTTTCTCTTGGGTTCATGCAGTTGTGAATCTGAAGGTCAGGTTTGTTTTGTGTTGAGGAGTGTCAAAGACTAGGAAAACGATGTCAATGTGGAAGGCAGAGAGGCTTTTTTAATGCGGTGTGTACATGTTTTGAATAGATTAGACTTTAATTTGCACTTACTTATGCTTAAATGTAAACAGAATTTGCATTTAACGAGTTTCAAAAGTACCTATTTTTAAATATCTATTTTCTGTTATTATATTTGTTTAAGTAAGTGTCCTTGTTTTCTTAATGTTTTTAAAAAGGATTAAAATCCCTTTAGGAGTAAAATTAACATGTTCTTAATTTTCAAAAGTTTGTTTCAATCACTGGGGCAAAGCAGAAATTTTGAAATACTTTTAGGATAAGCTTTTGCAAATATTTTAATTTAAATAATGATGGAAATGTGCTGTAGGTTAATCACAATGTTATGGGTCTTTTTTAATGTTAAGGGAAAGGTGTTACAGTTAAAATTAAGCCAAACTCAGCAAAATTATGAGACATTTGGACTATACCATCATGCGTGTTTGAGAACCTATGATTTCAGATGAAATTTTCCAAATATTTGAAGTTAAAATGCATAGTCACTCTGTTCAAATTAAGAATAATACTAACCAAATTAGATCACAGGTTTATGCCTTTCACCAAAGATAGAATAAAATCAAACTTAAAGTGCCATCCTTGTTTGCAAAGGACTTCTATATTGATGGCCTTCCATTTTTATCAGCTAACATTTAATAAAACAACATATCCAGTTGTACCATTTTTGTCATTTATGGGTGTGTCTGTACAGTTTTTCTTATTGTAATGGTTTCCCAACAAAATACTTACAGTTGTTTTTTTAAGGTTGGGCCATGTCTATTCATTGCCAAACTATTGGTTATTTGAGGACATCTAGGAATAAAATGACTGTATATTTAATTTTTTGTTTGCTGGACAAAACTAGACAATAGTAAAAAACATAAACTCCAAAAAAACTCATTTAAAACATATTTTTGAGTAACTATTGTGTATCAGGCACATAGACATTTACTAGGTATACCAGTTAATCAGACTATTTTCAATAGATGGAGTTACACATATGTTGATATATATGCAATTTTATATGTATGCTTTTTGTTGTATTGACAGCAAGCTTCAAAACTTCATATGTCAAATTTTCTGAAGGTGTTAACATCATAGATATTTTTACATTTAAAATTGTCAAATTTCGTGCCAGAAAAAGAGCATTTGTGGGAAGTTTTAATTCACTATTTTGAAGAAAAAGTAATCATATACTTCGGGAAGCTTATGTTGAACATGCTCCATCTCAAGATACTTGTGACCACTGGCTTAAATGCTTTAAAGGTAATGATTTCGATGTGAAAGACAAAAAACGTCCAGGTCAACCGAAAAAGTTTGAAGACCAACAATTGCAAGCATTAGTGGATGAAGAGGCATGTCAAACTCAAAAATAACTTGCAGAAAGATTAAACTCTGCTCAGCAAACAATTTCTGATCATTTACAAGCAATGGGAAAAATTTTAAAGGAAGGAAAATGGGTGCCACATCAACTAAATGGAAAACCAAAAAGTCATTAGTAAAATGTTGCTTCAACATCATGAAAGAAAGTCTTTTTTTGCACCGACTTGTGACTGGCAATGAAAAGTGGATTTATTTTGAGAATCGAAAGTGCACAAAATCATGGGTTGGTCCAGGTCAACTATCAACATTGACTGCAAGGCCAAATTGATTCAGAAAGAAGACAATGCTCTGTGTTTGGTGGGATCGGGAAGGTGTGGTATATAATGAGCTTCTAAAACCAGGTGAAACCATTAATGCTGATTGCTACTGACAACAAATAATCAATTTGAACCACACTTTGATTGTGAAACAACCAGAATGTGCCAGAAGATATGGCAAAATAATTTTGCTTCATGATAACACACCATCGCACACTTCAAAACCAGTTAAAGACCCATTAAAAGACCTTGAGTGGAAAGTATTAACCTACCCACAGCATTCACCACACCTTGCTCCTTCAAATTATCACTTGTTCGGATCGATGATGGTGCATGCACTTTCTGAGCAGCACTTCAAAACATACTAAGAAGTGGAAAATTGGATCTCTGAATGGTTTGCTTCAAAACAATAAAAGTTCTATTGGGACGGTATCCACAGATTACCTGAAAGATGAGGAAAATGTATAGCTAGCGATGGGCATTACTTATAATAAAGCACTTTTGATGTTTCTCTTGAAATTATTGTGTTTTCTTTGATTACAAAATCTGCCATTATTAACTGGTACATCTAGTAGAATATATTAATGAATTAAAAAGGGGAAAGGTCTTGCCTTTATGAAGTTGTAATTCTTTTTTAAATGTGGCATATTATAAACAAGTAAATAAAACAAAAGAGAAATTGAAATATATTCTAAATCACTTATGGCTAAGCCTATCTCCATTTAATTTTTCTAAAACATAAAAGCAAAGGTATGTATTTTCATAGTTGTGTGGTGGTTAAAATCATACGCTCTAGGCTCAGATTGCCCGGTTGCTTATGTTCAAATCCCAGCTCTGCTACTAATTAGCATTAGAACAATACCTGGAACCTTCTTGTCAGCTTTCAGTTTCTTAGACTTTACTAGGGGCCAGTGCATAAAATTCATGCACAGGTAGGGTCCCTAGGCCTGGCCTGTTATCAGGACCATTCTGGAGGGCAATCGGGGGTGGAGGGGCCCTGCTGGCACCCACCTTGGCTGGCCCAGGGCCTGCAGATTGGGGGAAGCTCCTCTGTTGAGCGTCTGCCCCCTGGTAGTCAGTGTGTGTCATAGTGATCAGTCTTTCTCTTAGTCGTTCCACTGGTCATTCCACCCTTTGGTCGATTTGCATATTAGGCTTTTATATATAGGACTAGAGGTCCGGTGCAAGAAATTCATGCACAGGAGGTGTCCCTCAGCCCAGCCTGCACCCTGTCTAATCTGGGACCCCTCGAGGGATATCTGACTGCCCGTTTAGGCCAGATCCTAGGATCAGGCTGTCGGACATCCCTCTCACAATTCAGGACTGCTGGCTCCCAATGCTCACCTGCCTGCCTTTCTGATTGCCCCTAACCACTTCTGCCTGCCAGGCTGATTGATGCCTAACTGCTCCCCTGCCAGCTTGGTCACCCCTAACTGCCCTCTCCTCAGGCCTGCCCCCCCCCCCCAACTGCTCTCCCCTGCTGGCCTGGTCAACCCTAAATGCCCTCCCCTGCAGGCTTGATTGCTCCCAACTGCCCTTCCTTATAGGCCTTGTCCCTTCCAACTGCCCTCCCCTGATGGCCATCTTGTGATGGCTATCTTTCGTTCCACATGGGGGCAGGATCTTTGACCACATGGGGGCAACCATCTTGTGTGTTGGAGTGATGGTCAATCTGCATATTACTCTTTTATTAGATAGGATAGAGGCCTGGTGCATGGGTGGGGACCAGCTGGTTTGCCCTGAAGGAAGTCCCAGATCAGGGTGGGGGTTCCCTTAGCATGTGGGGTGGCCTGGACAAGGGGTCTGTGGTGGTTTGCAGGCTGGCCATGCCCCCAGTAACCCAAGCAGAGGCGCTGGTATCTGGGATTTATTTATCTTCTACAATTGAAACTTTGTAGCCTGGAATGGAGCCAAGCCTTCTGCTTGCTCAGTGGTGGCAGCCATTTCTGTTGGGATTTATTTACCTTCTATAATTGAAACTTTGTAGCCTTAAGCAGAGGCCAAGGCAGGCCAGATTGTGTGGAAAGCTTGGCTTCCTACATTGCCAGGAAAACCCAAGTCTCCCTCCTGCTCTTCTCTCTGTGGCTGCAGCCATCTTTGTTGGGTTCATTTGCATATTTGCTCCTAATTGGTGAGCATGGCTTTTGGTTGTAGTGGAGTAATGGTTAATTTGCATATTACTCTTTTATTAGATAGGATGCTTTCTCGTTTCTTACATCATCTAAAACCCTTTTCTTACATCATCTAAAACCTGTCATTGTGGTTACTTTTAAAGGAAGAAAAAGGGAAGTAGAATGAACCAAGGCAAGTTTAAAATTCCTGATCTGGAGATTTCAGATTTATTCCCATTTAGCTAAATTCCCAGAATATTTTACCAAAATTTATTTAAGAGTTTTACATCATACAAGTTCCAAAATTCATTCTCTTACTTACCATCCCTTGATTATTTTGGCTAAATTTCTTGGTTTTGTTATTAATTGATTATGTTGAAATATAATCTTTTATTTGGTTTGCAAACATTAATGTTGTGATTCTCCTTCTATTCCTATTATTTTCCTCTCTTTTCTTCATATCCTTCCCTTCCTAAGTAACCTAGTCCTAAAGCCATTTGGGGGCAAAAACAAAGCAGGCCTCCAAATTGGCAGGGGAGAAAGGGATTCACTGTGATAACGTAGAGCAAACTGTCTGAACTCAACCACAGTGAGGAAGGTGTCCAGGTTACACCATAGGTGTTAGAGTCCAAGGGAATGAGGATGGTATCCACATGTAGCCAGGGGAAGGAATGAAGGGTGATTTCAGGAGGTGTGAGGTAGGCTATGGCCTGATATGGGAAGTCAGATCCCAAGTGGGGGTAAGGAGTGTATCTCTATAGAAGGGGCAGCCTGGCAAGAGGTTCATAGCCTGAGTAGGATGAGAAGGGCATCCAATGGAGAAGAAACTACCAGTAGGTAGAAGAGATTGGTTAGTGATCATCTGAGAAGATAGGTAAAATAAATACATATATTAAAGATGATGGCAGCTAGGTTTTTCATTGTGGGAGATGATAATTATAACATGGAAAGAGAGAAAATATAATGTTTGAAATTGGAATTAGAAATACCAGTGTGGTTTTTAAGTATACAAAAAACAAAACAAAACTGAGGAGCTAAAGACATTTGAAGAAAAATGAATGTGTAATACTACACTAGATCCTTTTGCTATAAAGTACATTATTGGTTCAATTGATGAAACTTGAATAGAATCTGAGGGTTAGCTAGGAAACAGTATGTCAATATCAATTTCCTGAGTCTGATAATTAATTTTGGTTATATAGAACAATGTATTTGCTTTTAGAAAATACACTCTAAAGTATTCAAGGATGGTAGGTAAGCAACTTGTTTTCAAATGATTTAGGACAAAAAGTTTTTATAAAGCATTTAAAACTTATAAAGTTTATGATTGTTTCAAGAATTTTAAGGAATACATTTAATAAAAAAAATAATGCTGTGTAATAAAATCTAGTTGATTTTAGCTAGTTGATTTAAGTTGTATTGGATAACATTTTTTGCAGGATCATTGGCCAGGGCAAATCATCTTTCGAGATAAAGATAAATGGGCGTACATTCTGAGGAAAATAAAAGAAGACAGTTCATTTAATTCCATTTATACACACCTATGGGAAAATGTCCCTCGAAGATATAGTGCAATCATGATCATGGAGTCAAGATTAGAGGAATGTTCAATTCTTTTGAAAAACCATGCCTCTAAAATTCTTGAGTGGGAAAAAGTAGTTTCTACTAAAGGTAAACCACATTTTTATATGAGTAGAGCAAATGTCAATTGTGTCTGTATGGTTGTGTGTCTGTCTACGTCTGTCTATCTGTCTCTGGGTGCAGTCTCATAAATAATGAAATCCTAAGGCATAAAATATCTAAAAAAAAAACACATTATAATAAATTATTTTATTTTATTTTCATTTGGTCCAGTACAGATTTTTTAGTTGAACATGAACATGTGGAATCAAAGAAAGTATTGCTAGGATAAAAAACTCAAATAGTTATGAACTTTGTTAAGCTGGAACAGGGGTAGCCAAATATCAAGGAAACAGGATGGATTATATAAACTGATACTGGAACCAGAGATAAGTGAGCCAGCAAGAGTCAGGTTATAAGAACATAAATACCTAAAACCCAAAGTAGAGGGGGTGAGAATGGATTTACATTCCCTAGTTTAGCTTGAGGGAAGGTAGTGATAATTATTCAGAACTGAATAACTGCATACTGGGTAAAAAGCATATCTCCTAGGAATATTAATTTTTTACTTCTTTTGAGTATTTGTATTACTTTTTTATTATTTAATTAACACTTTCAGTATCTAAAAGTTTTTAGATACTAATGGGGATAATTATCTTATTTTTTATTTAATGGGCAAACTTGTCATGGGTAAGCCTTAAAAATGCTGATATTAGTTATACCTATAAAGTATTTTCAATATATTAAATAAATTTAATTAGTCACATTATTTAGATATTTAATATTCTTTTATGGATCTCTATTTTTCAAATTCTGAGAATGTGTTTAAATACACTATTACTAAGTTTTATTTTAAATTTTCTTATTTAATTTTGTATTTTTAATATAAAATATTTTGAAGCATATATATATAATATATGGAGAGAGATAAAGTACATATGTATATACTTTAAAAAACTAATTTTATGTATATTAATTATCCTCAATATGAAAATATCAAAGCTTGACTCACGTTTAGATTAACTGAGTTCAGAGCTCCCTAGAGCAGTGGTCGGCAAACTCATTAGTCAACAGAGCCAAATATCAACAAGTACAAAGATTGACATTTCTCTTGAGAGCCAAAATTTTTAAACTTAAACTTCTTTTAACGCCACTTCTTCAAATCAGACTCAACCAGACCGTGGTATTTTGTGGAAGAGCCACACTCAAGGGGCCAAAGAGCCACATGTGGCTCGTGAGCCACAGTTTGCCGACCACGGCCCTAGAGTCTCACTGGTCCATGTTTCAAAGTCCTGTACTTTCTGGAATTTAAAGTGACCATGAAACCATAATGCAAGTGACTGAACTATTTAAATAACATGGGCTTGTTCAGTAAGAAGAGGTTGATGTAAAACTTTAGATATAGGAGTAAGTACTAATAAAGACATACTAGTTGGAACATGACATTTCTGTAAAACAAAAAAAAACAGAAGAAATAATAATGTACTCATTCAACAAGTGTTTGTATATCTAGCATTATGCTTATCAAAATAGCTAGTTGATCCCATTGAATAGTTTTATGTATATTTTATTTAAAGTACTTACATCTTTTTCACTTTTAAAGGCAATATATATGTGTATACACATACACACAAATACTCATATATAAGTTGTGAATTCTTGTTTTTTTTTTAAGGTATTCTTGGAAAATTGGAAAAATATGAGGCATTTCTAAAGAAGCACCCTAAGAAAAAGATGATAATGGTATGGTATTTGTTTTCATTCCTGAAAAATTATATTCCACAGAAAATATAATCACTGTAATTGCATGGATAACTTTTTGAAATGTTCTTACAGGGTGTTTTTTTTTATTTTTTAAATAATCTACCTATCTCTGTATTTTTAAAATATTAGGTTTAGTAATAATTAATGTCGTTTTCTAATACTTTTTTAAATCAAATTTATTTAAACAATACAACAAAATTTAATCAACAATATAGTTGCCGTTGTTTTCTACTACTTGTGCCCAATGCTCAGGAAGCATTTTAATCCCTCTGTTGTAAAATTCTTGTGATTTTGATGCAAAAAATTCTGTCAATGCATTTTTGAGGCATTCTTCATTATTAAATTTTTTTCCAAGAAGAAAGTTTTGCAAAGAACGAAACAAATGGTAATCGGAAGGAGCAATATCAGGAGAATATGCAGGTTGAGGGAGAACTTCCCATTCCAACTGGCGCAGTTTTTCAGCAGTGATTCTTGCAGTATGCGATCGTGCGTTATCGTGGTGAAGAATTACGCCCTTCCGATTAATCAGTGCGGGTTCTTTTTCTCTTAAAGCTTGGGCTAACCTTTCCAATTGGGCACTATACACTGCACTTGTAATGGTTTGGTCAGATGGTAAAAGTTCATAATGAAGAATTCCTTTAAAATTCCACCAAACACACAACATCACTTTTTTCGCATGCAAGTCAGGTTTTGGCGTGGGCTGCGGAGCCTCATTTTTGTCCAACCATTGAGGCCGCCTTTTCAAATTAACATACAGCACCCATTCTTCATCTCCGGTAACAATTTGCTCTAAAAACGGCAAACGGTTTTGACGAGAGAGGAGCGAACTGCAAATTGTGACTCTTTGATTACGGTTGTTGTCGGTCAACTCATGAGGAACCCATTTTCCAAACTTTTGGACTTTGCCAAGTGCACGCAATTGATTGGAAATTGTTTTTTGTGAACAATTTAAAGTTGTCGCAAGCTCTTGTTGGGTAATTTGAGGATTTTTCACCAAAAGAGCTTGAAGAGCTTCTTGATCAAAATTGGACACACGGCCTCGACCACTCTTGTCATCTAATGAAAAATTTCCCTCGCGAAATTTCTCAAACCAACGCTGGCATTTTCTGGCGCTAACTGCATCTTGACCAGGAGCACTACAGATGTTTTTTGCAACCTCACTTGCTTTTCTTCCTAATTGGAACTCATAAAGCATGCAGTGCCAAATATGCTCTTCATCCACCATCTTCTTAGCCCTAGTTTTGCAACAAAAACCAAACCAAACACAAACTTTTTCAAGCAAAACTTGTTAATTGCACGTCACACGTTCTGTAGATACCACGTGTTTGAAGGTTATGTCAATACAAGTCAACGCCAAGCAAGATTTTAAACGAATGTTTAAAAACGACATTAATTATTACTAGACCCGATACCTGGACATATATTTTCTTTACATACACAATATCAAAGTGTTGGCATTTTCATATCACTAGAAGTGATTTTTTAAATGTATATATTTCATCCTCTTGTTATTTAATAATTTATGTCATATACTTAGTTCAGAGCCCATATTAGTTCTCCTCCTATAGAAAAAAAATAAGAATTCCTTTTACCAAGCATTTAAAGAAGAACACCTATCCTTCTGGAACTATTCCAAAAAATGCAGGCCAAGGGAAGACAAAGGAAACCTTGAGGAAAGTTAAAAGTGCTATTCCACTGAACATACAAGTGATAAGAAAGCAAAACAGCCTTATGCTAATCTGCAGAAAGGTTTCGTGGTCTGTATAGAAGATCAAACCAGCCACAACATTTTCTTAAGCCAAAGCCTAATCCAGAGCAAGGCTCTAACTCGCGTCAGTTCTAGGAAGCCTGAGAGAGGTGAGGAAGATGCAGAAGAAACATTTGAAGACAGAGGTTGGTTTATGAGTCTTAAGGAAACAGGCTATCTCCATAAGATAAAAGTGCACTGTAGAGCAGCAAGTGCTGGTGTAGAAGCTGTGGCAAGTTATCCAGGAAGTCTAGCTAAGATGGGCTGACTTCTTACTAGGGGCTAATGCAGCTGGTGACTTCAGGTTGAAGCCAATACTCAGTCACCATTCTGAAAATCCTGCTAAATCTACTCTGTCTGTGTTCTGTAAGTGGAACAACAAAGCCTAGATGACATCTATCTGAAACTTGGCTTACTGAGTACGTTAAGTCCACTGTTGAGACCTACTGCTTAGAAAAAGATTCCTTTCAAAATATTACTACTCACTGACAATGCACATGGTCACTCAAGAGTTCTGATAGAGATGTACAAGATTAATGTTGTTTTCATGCCTCCTAACGCAACATCCTTTCGGCAGCCCATGGATCAAAGAGTAATTCTGACTCTCAAGTCTTATTTAAAAAATGCATTTTGCAAAATTATATCTGATGGATCCGGGCAAAGTAAATTGAAAACCTTCTGGAAAGGACTCACAGGTCTAAATGCCATTAAGAACATTCTTAATTTATGGGAAGAGGTCAAATATGAACATTAACAGGAATTTGGGAGAAGTTGATTCCAATACTCCTGGGTGATGGTGAAGGAAGGAGTAACTGCAGATGTGGTGGAAATAGCAAGAGAACTAAAATTAGAAGTGGAGCCTGAAAATTTGACTGTATTGCAACAATCTCATGATAACACTTTAATGAATAAGGTACTGGCTGTTGTTGATGAGCAAAGAGAGTTGTTTTTTGAGATGGAATCTATTGCTGGTAGAGATGCTGTGAAGATTGTTGAAATGACAACCAAAGATTTAAAGTAGGACATAAATGCAGTCAATGAAGCAGCAGCAGGGTTTGAGAGGATTAACTCCTATTCTGCTGTGGGCAAAATGCTATCCAACAGCATCTCATGCTACAGAGACGGCGCTTGTGAAAGGAAGAGTCAGTCTATGCTGCAAACTTCATTGTCTCATTTTGAGAAATTTCTACAGCCACACCCACTTTCAGAAACAGTTATCCTGATCAGTCAGCAGACATAAACATTGAAGCAAGAACCTCACAGCAGCAAAGATTATAATTCCCCGAAGACTTGTATGATGGTTAGTAATTTTTAGCAATAAAGTACTTTAAATTAAGATATGGACATTGTTTTTCAGACATAATGCTATTGTATACTTAATATACTACAGTATAGTATAAAAACTTTTATATGCACTAGGAAACCAAAAATGTTGTGTGACTCACTTTATTGTGATATTTGTTTTAATGTGGTTGTCTGGAGTTGAACCCATATCTCCAAGGTATGCATGTAGATTAGATATAGATAGGTATCCCTTTGCTCAAAAACTTGAGAAAAATCTTCATGTTTTGAAGCAGAGAGGAAGATAATTCACTGTGATGAATAATCTGGCGCCTGAATTCATGCATGGGTGGGGTCTGGAACAGCCTGGCCAGGGGGAGGGAACATAGGCAATTGGTTGGCCTGACTGCTGGTCAAACTCCTGGTCGAGGGGACAATTTGCATATTAGCCTTTTATTATTATTTATTATTATTTATTATTTTATTCTGAGATCATAATAATCTGATCACTCAGTGTATATGTACATATATATACATATACTTTTACACACATATATATAAAACATACATATATGTGTGTAAAAGTATTTTAATAAAATGGAAGAGATACAAACAAGACAAATAATAATGACTATTTCAAGAAAGAGGAACACATGAATGGAACTAGAAATCATTGCGAAAACATATCCAAACTTTTATGTATATTTATATATAAACTTTGTATATTCTCATTAAAATGGTCTTAAGCAATACTAAAATATAGACTAGATTGTAGGGGCATGAGCATACTGGTAATTATGGTATTCCTTATAATTTCTGTGTTTTTTAAATTTCTGACTTGATAAAAGATGGCTTTCAGAATCTATTGAAATGATCTTTAAATGCATTATCCTAATAAAATTTTAAATAATTATTTTATTGTTAAATATGTTATATTTGGGTTTTTAATCAGGATTTTAGCATGTGTTATTGTATTATTGTGGTATCTTTCCCAGACTGTATGATCAACACCTTGTTTTGTTATTACTCTGCTCCTTTAAAATGTCCAGTGTTTGCTCCCTGCAGAATAAAGCCAGGTCTTTGAGATTAACATTAACATCTTCCTAACTTTGTTTTTTTTGTTTTTTTAAATAAATCTTTATTGTTCAGATTATTACAAATGTGATCCTCTTCCCCCCAATTGCTCCCCTTCACCAGGTTCCCACCCCACCCTCTGTCCTTTCCCCATCCCCCATTGTCCTCATCCATAGGTGCACAGTTTTTGTTCAGTCTCTTCCCGCACCCCCACTCCCCTTTTCCCTGAGAATCATCAGTCCACTCCCCTTCCATACCTCTGATTCTATTATATTCACCAGTTAATATTGTTCATCAGATTTTTAAATTCCCTTGGTTTTTAGATTCACTTGTTGATAGCTACGTATTTGTTGATCATAATTTTTATCTTTATCTTCTTCCTCTTCCTAAATAACCTCCTTCAGCAATTCATATAATTCTGGTTTGGTGGTGATGAACTCTTTTAGCTTTTTTTTATTTGTGAAGCTCTTTATTTGTCCTTTGATTCTGAGTGATGTTTTTGGCTGTAGGTTCTTGTTATTCATCACCTTGAATATTTCTTGCCATTCCTGTCTGGCCTGCATGGTTTCTGTTGAGAAATCAGCTGACAATCTTATGGGTGCTCCTTTATAGGTCACTACCTGCTTTTCTCTTGCTGCTTTTAATATTCTCTCTTTGTCTTTTGCTCTTGGAATTTTAATTATGATATGTCTTGGTGTGGTCCTCCTTGGATTCCTTTTGTTTGGGGTTCTGCGGGCTTCCTGGACTTGTAAGTCTATTTCTTTCCCCAGGTGGGGGAAGTTTTCTGTCACTATTTCTTTCAATATTCTTTCTGTATCTTGCTCTCTCTCTTCTTCTGGAATCCCCATAATTCTGATGTTGTTTCGCTTGAAATTGTCCCAGAGGTTTCTTACATTATCTTCAACTTTCTGGATTCTGTTATCTTCTCCCTTCTGCAGAGGAGTGTCCTCTGGCTCTTTGTGTTCTAAATCTTTGTCTTGATTCTTGCGATCTTCCAGTCTGTTTTTAGGACTTTGTATAATATTTTTTATTTCAGACAATGTTTTCTTCATTTCTTGTTGATCCCTTATTATTTCTAGTTGCTCCCTTTTCATATCCTCATAGGTCTCATTTATTTTATCGGCCTTTTTTGGGATATTGTTGAATAACCTTATAACTGTAGTTTTGAACTCAATGTCCAATTTTTTCTTTTCCTCCATCTCCTTCCTTTGTGTCCTTCTTCTTGTCTGCATTTTAGTTGTTTCCCTGATTTGATGGAATAGTTTTGTGTGCTATGTGTTCTGGTAGAGTCCAGTAGCACAGCCTTCCCAGTTACCTGCAGTGGACAGTCTTGGTGTAGCCCTTTGTGGGCTGTGTGTGCAGTCTTGTTGTTAAGCCTTGCTTATTGTTGGTATCACTGGGAAGCGTTGATCTCCAAGCCAATTGGCTGTGAGGATCAGCAGTGTCTCAGCTAGGAGGGTTTCCGTACTCTGCTTGAATAGGGCGGGGTCTCGGGGTGGCGCAGACAATCTTTGGTTCCCTGTCAGTCTCGCCTTAGAAAAGTCCTGTTCATGGAGAGTTTTGGAAGATTGGTTGCAGGCCCGCACGCACCTCTTTGGTAAAGGCGCAGACAAGCTTTGGATTCCTGCAAGTCCCTCCTTAGAGAAAGCCAGCCTCTGGGAGAGCTTCTGTGCTCAGCCACAGGTAGGGCGGAGTCTCGGGTTGGTGCAGACAAACTTTGTTTTCCCTTTGGCTCCTCCCCAAGTCCCACAGTAATGGCCTCTGGCTTCACACACCTCCAAGAGATCTCTGCCCACTGCCTGACAGTCTGGCCTCTCCCTGTCTGGGGCCGTTATCAGAGCAATAGGGTGATTCTGTTTTCCTCTTGGACAAGAAAGCCAGCCGCGTTAGCTGTTCGCCCTCTTCGCGCCAGGAGTAAGCCTGTAGTGAACTCAGCCTGGCCCGCCCTCTCTGCGTGCAGGGAGTAAGCCAGCAGCAATCTTGGTCCGGCCCTTCCTCTCCGCACAGGGATTAAGCCAGCGCCTTTTCGCGCACACAGTTCTCTGTACCTTCACAGTTCCTGAGGTTCAGCGTGCCTTCTCTCTCCTTCCCAGATGGCAGAGCCTCCTCTCAGCCAGCCATCTGGCGCTTCAGGGCAATGCCTCCCCTGTTTTTCAGTTCTAAATTCAAATTTGTTGTGGTAGGCTGCATTCCGGTGTCATCTTTATTGACCAGATGTATCTAAAGCTCTCAAGCATACAGCATTCATTATTTGTTTTTAAATATATTTTTATTATTTCAGAGAAAGAGATAGAAACATCAATGATGAAAGAGAGTCGTCGATTGGCTGCCTCCTGCATGTCCCCTACTGGGGATCGGGCCCACAACCCAGGCATGGGCCCTTGACCAGAATCAAACCAGGATCCTTCATTCCACAGGCCAGTGCTGGTGGAATAAGCCAGACTGGTTAAGACTGTGGCCTTTTTACTTTTATTTTTTAATGATAATTGATTTTAGTTTCCCTGGTCATTCTTTTTTATTCCTTTGCACACTTTTTAAAATACTACTAATGTAATTATCTTAGCAATCTTCTGTTAGCAATCTGTTATTATCCTTTCAAGTGTGTTTCCTATGTCATCTCCTCAATAATAATATGTATTCTGTAGTTTGTGTATATGTAAAATTTGCATGTAAGATTAGGTATTCCTGGAGCAAGTAAGGATATGGAAATTAGTAAACAATGTACCAACATGTCTAGCTGATAAAAAAAAATAATGTATATAGAAGGCTACTTAATCTCTATGTAAAATAATACAGTAAACATGGAGATATGCCACATAGATTCTCCTTCAAGGAAAGACCTATTGCTCTAGCTTAGGGGTGTCGAACTCAATCAGAGAAGGGGCCAAAATCTAAAATCCAGCCTAAATCGCGGGCCGAATGGTTTACTGAACAGTCATAAACTGTCATTGTGATGGAAACGCAGCGGAGTGCAGTGATGACAGAGCGGTGCGGGCCACATTGCAAGGCCTGGCGGGACGGATTTGGCCCGCGGGCCTTGTGTTTGACACATGTGCTCTAGCTGATAGGAGTGCTGTTAGGGCACTGTCAGCCCCTTTAGGTACTGCTTCACCTATTCACAACTCACGAGGACAAGCTCTTTCAGGAACCACCCAAATCCAGTGGCTGATAAAGTTGGATGCAAAAAGAATTGGCTATTTCAACCCAATGCAGGACAACTATGATGGGTCCTTTAATCTTTAGAGCTCTTACTAGGATTATTGGAGGCTGTTAAGACTTGCATCATAGCTGACTTCTCCATCTTCCCAACTTTGCCTCTCCCTTGTCTTCCATAGATAATGAATGCAAGGCACTCCCAATAAACATTTTGAATTCCACCTCAGAGTCTGTTTACATTGAGTTCAAACTGCAGTAAGTAGTTTGTTTGCATTTATGATATAGCCCTTATCTATTTGTGTTCTGTTTATATATGTACCTTAGTCCCTTCTTGAACTCTGACTAGCTCTGAGGGTAAGAGCCATTTTGTATTCTTAGCATCTAACACAGCAACAGCATTCTAGGCTTCAGTAGGAGATACACACACACATACATTAACTGAGAAAGTTTATCAAATATAAAAATTCTCTTATTTATGATTTTAAAGATTTTATTTTTAATGTTTTTCAGCTTTCTGATGAAATGCAAACGAGGAATATAGAGGTATTTAAAATTTCTGTTTTTAATATTCTTTATCAAGGTATTATGTGGAGGTAAAAGAATGTTTGTAATAACCGATTTGGCTATAGAGTTAGGGACTGTAGGAGAGAGAGTTGGAAACAGATATAGAAGCTTTCTTTTTTTAAAAAAAAATTGAAAATATATTTTTATTGACTTCAGAGAAGAAGGGAGAGGGAGAGAGAGATAGAAACATCAATTATTAGAGAGAAACATTGATTGGCTGCCTCCTGAGCACCCTACACAAGGGATCAAGCCTGGAACCTAGGCATGTGCCCTGACCAGAAATCGAACTGTAACCTCCTGGTTCATAGGTCTATGATCAACCACTGAGCCACACTGGCCAGGCAGAAACTCTCTTTTCCTGCTGAGTCCATTTCCATATGTATAGTTAAAAATTCTTGATCATTTGATCAATTCTTAATCAATTTAGTTCTTCAATATTATTTTCTTTTGCTTTTGGATTTGGCATGTGAATATATCAGGGTCTTAATTTCAGAGAAACAGATATTATGAAGATTTTGCATAGGTGGAATAAATATTTTTCAATTATTTTCATAAAAAGAAGTAAAATAATTTATCATTAAGTATTTATCTGTCTCCTACTAAGACTACTAACTGAAACGAGTGAAGTAATTACTGTTGTGTGATATTTCCTCTTTCTAGGGTTGCAACTTTGCAGGATTCAAAACAACTGAGCTTACTAAACTACCCAGATACTTGGATGCTGAACGAATTTATCTCTTTATTTTAAAAGTCCATAACTTTGATGTATGTAAATATTATTTTATTTTTGTGTGATAACTTTGGAGAATATATGATTTAATGAATCAGACCTTTATTTAAAGATCTGACAAATTAAATGTTTAAGCAAGCTTTAATCTTTTGAGTATTAAGTCTTACAGGAAAGACTAGCGATGATTTACATCCTGATCACCTGAAGAGAAATATTAGACTCTATGTTCCTGTCTCAGGGACCTGAGGTTGCTAGTGTGCATTGGCTTAGCATGTGCTAGAGAGGTTGTGGAGAAAGGGGAACCCTCATTCACTGCTGGTGGGACTGCAGATTGATTCAGCCACTATGAAAAAAAGTAAGGTAGTTCTTAAAAATATTGATTTGAGTTACCATATGACCTAGCAACCCCTCTTCTAGGAAACTACCCAAAAATCTTGAAAACATTTATTCCCTAACTATGCACCCCTATGTTCACTTTAGCACTATTCACAGTGGCCAAGATATAGAAACAACCAGTGTCCTTCAATAGATGATTGGATAAAGAAAGTGTGGTACATATTGTATATACTATGGAATACTACTCAGCCATAAGAAAAGATGAAATACTGCCAAATGCAATAATATGGATAGACCTTGAGGATATGCTAAGTGAAATAAATCAGACAGAAAAAGCTAAAGCACCAAATGATTTCACTCATATGTGGGATATAAAACTGAGAAACTCATAGACACAAACAACAAAATGGTGGTTACCAGAGGGAAGGGAGGTTGGAGAATAGTAAGGGGTAAAGGCAGCCAAATATATGGTGGTGGAAGATTATTTTACTTTGGGTGATGGACGCACAATGCAATATACAAATCATGTATCATAGAAATGTACACTTGAAACTTATAGTATAAGCTTATTAACGAGTGTTACCTCAATAAATTTTCAAAATAAATGCTTATAATAACTTACAAGGATTGTACTTATGGATCTGAAACTCAGAAAAAAAAGGTTAAAAGACTACTGTTTTAAGCCTTTTATTTTAGTGGGAATTCACTGAAATAACTGAATTCTCCTTACCTCATCCAAACACATTCCTGTACATACAGCCACAGATTAAATTTCTTGATGAACAAAAGTATATATTAGCCTATGTACCACACTGAACAGAACCTTGGCTAGAGATTATGCTCAGTAAAAATTTTATTGAATTGAATTGTGAATAAAGGGCCTATACTGGTAATATTGATATATCGTAGTTAAAAGGAGAAAGCTGAGCCACAAGCATACTTACATGCACAAATAGAAATTCAAGAGAACATAGAAGTATTTTTTTCCAACCTAAGTTGAAAATTCAATTTAGGAAAAGAAGTTCCAAGTCAGATAATCTGTAGGTTTAAAAAATATTTACATTTACTGGTACTGGAATAAAGAAAGTATCACAAATGTAGAAAGGTGGGTAGTATTGAGGAGAGAACCACTTAGCTTTTTAAGCTGTGTTTGTGTTTGTTTTATTTTACCGATTTTCAAATTTTGGTTGTTTTAACTATTGATATATTTTAAAGAATTTGGAATTTTCCTGGGGGGGGGGGGGGGGGAAGAAAGTTAGTGACAATAAACATACCCAAAATTAAGACTCAGATCAATCATGCAATTAATTTATAGTAAAAAGCATCTTTGCTTGAAATATGCAAATAATTTAAGCAAAAGTATTCATCTTTTCTCCTGTATTTCAATTTTCTGCTCTTTCTTTATGTACTTTACATATCTTATATAATAAAGGGCTAATATGCAAATCAACTGAATGGTGGAATGACCAGTCACTATGACCCGCACAGACCACGAGGGGAAGGACGCTCAATGCAGAAACTGCCTCCAGGTGGTCACAGGGGGAGCACCACTCAGCCAGAAGCCAGGCTCATGGTTAGCAAGCACAACCTCCACGGCAGTGCTAAGGGTGTCTGACGGGGAGAAGGCCTAAGCCAGCAGTCAGATATCCCCTGAGGGCTCCTGGACTGCAAGAGGGCACAGGCCAGGCTGAGGGACCCCTTGAGTGCACAGATTTTGTGCACCAGGCCTCTAGTGTTCTTTAAAATTAGGAGCCAAACCTAAAATGATGCTGTTACCAATGTAAGTGAAAGAGAAGTGCCCCCACGGAATTCGTGATAAATAATCTTCTCAGCATAAAAGTTTACACAATGTGTCTTTGTTGTTATTGTTGACTTGTACTTGAGGAACAAGAATTTATGTCTATGTATTTCATTAAAATAAATCTTATACTCTACTGAATCTGGTATTTAGAAACTTTTAGTTGAATAAGATAAAATGATCTACTGAATATCTCTTTAAACCAAGATTTACAATCTGTAATATAGTCATGGTAAGTAGCTTAACTTTATGTGACAATTTAGATCCATTGTTTAAAGAGAGCTCCATGTTTAGGTAAGATCTAGGTTATAATGGGGTTGGTTGGGATAGAAGTCCATGATTGTTGACATCTGTCTTCATTGTAAAAGAGAGTTTGTAGCATATCTTGGATTTTTGCTATTCTTGATCTAGCCTACACTATAATTTCCATATGTCCTAGCCAAATGTAATTATTGAAATGTCGCTAATATAACAGAGATGAATTTTTAAATTATATTTTAATTAATTTATATATAAATTCCAAAACTAATACTTAATTCAGTTATCAAATAACTTTTGATTGTGGTTGAAACAAAATTATAACCATATATTTTATGAAATCTAAATATTGATCTAGTATGTATCATGAAAATTTGGTGTTCAAATTGAGATGTGCTATAAGTACAAATCATGCAGTATATTTCAAATGCCTAGTACCAGCAAAGATTGTAAAATATTTAATTAACATGTTTTAAATCATATGATAACATTTTAAATATACATTGAATGGCCAGATTATTACGATCTCTGAATGCATAATTGGCCATTCAATGTATCTCTTATATAATAAAAGGCTAATATGCAAATTGTCCCTTCAACAAGGAGTTTGACCAAGAGGCAGGCCAGCCAACCGCCCATGTCCCCTCCCCTGGCCAGGCTGGCTGAACCCCACCCATGCACAAATTCATGTAATCCGGCCACTCAGTGTATATAGTTGGTTAAATGTCATTAAAACTTATTTCACCTTTTACTTTTTTAAAGTGGCTACTAAAAAATTTAATATTACAATAGAGCCCTACATTAAATTTACATTGTGTGCATACTCTTTACAAAGCCTGTTTAATTAACCTGTTTTATAATGTATTTTAATTTGATCCCCATCTGTCCTTTTTTGTAGGAAAAAGTTGAAAAACTCTGGAAGACTTATTTTCTCTCAGAAGCCTCGATTGCTCTTTTGCATGATTCCTTTTGGTGGTGGTTTCTCCATAAATTTAAGGTATAAGGATATTTTTTAAACTTCCTTTTTAGATTGATTTGCAGCATAATTCATTTTTCAGTAGAGGTAGCACTGGTACAAAAAAAAAATTTCTGGGTCCTTTCACAGAGCTTGTTATTTTAGTATTCTACACATGTAAGAAATCCTGTTTGCAATAGAGTTCTTTCACAATAGCAGGTCACTAAATCATTGATTGCCTTCTGTATGCCAACTACCATAAGAACCTTCATTAATTCATCAAGCATTTTTGGGTTTTCTGTGTGCCAGACATTGTGCTTGAAATACATCACATAAAACATGATCCTTTTCCTTATTTAATTTTAAGATACTACTTTAAGATATGTATATATTATCAACATTTGGCAGATGAGGAAACTCGGACTTAATTAACTTGCCGAGGGTAATGCAACTAATGAAATAACAGCCAGGATTTAAATTTAGGTCTGCATGATGCCAAAACCCATGTTCATTCCACTGCAGCAACTGATCTGCTCTTGAAAATAGATAAAATTACTGACAAGCAAACAAATTCTAATTTTAAATTATAATATTAATGATTTTAATTTCACACATCTTTTGTTTTTTAAGCCTGACAAAGAAAATCAAGATTTCTTGTTTGATAGGATTTCAGAAAGTTACGTGACACTTTTCTTAAACATACCTCTAAGTAAAAAGGATGCATTCTTTCAGGTAAAACATAGAAATTAATGGTTATGCTAATTATTTTGGAGCTAATGAAATAGAGAAATAGTTATTTTACTTAAACACCTGTGAGAACATATTTTATTACTTTGAAAGAAAAATTTCCTGAAATAAAATAAGTTATGATACTGTTTTAATCCTTACCTGAGGACATGCTTTATTATTATTATTATTACTGATTTGAGAGAAAGAGGGGGAGAAAGAAAGAGAAAGAGAAATGTAGATCAGTTGTCTCTCGTACTACAACTTAGTCATGTGCCCCCTCACTCCAGAATATTGTATTTCCTTGACTAAAGTTCTTACAGAATCTTCTTAGTGAGATATAGATCTTTTGTTTGCATATTAAAAATTTGAAAACTGTTGATTTACCCTAGGTATATTATTGGTTTATATATTTATCTAAAAAATTGCTTATCAATTTTGTTTTTCTTTACAATATATATTTTGATCTAAGAGGTCTTGAAAAGTTTATGTTAAGCCTAAGGACTAAATCCCTGTTAAGTAAAGAACATGGACAAATTTATGAATCAAATGCTTGTTTTACTTTGATCTAATATTAACTAATGAGTAGGGTGGATTAAAATAATGTATATTCTTGAGTAATGTTAAATGAAGATGGTAGGAATTTCATTGGGTATTTTTAAATTTAAACATCTAGTATTTCAAAGCAGAAGCCACATTCAAATACTTTGCTGTGTTGACATCTATAAATCAGAAATATATAGGTATTTTGGAGTCAGTAAATATTTCTTTTCCATGAGTAAAACAAGCCTAAAATAAAAATAATCAAATGTCCTTCATAAACAAACCTAAATTGTGAAATATTTATCTTTGATCTTATAAACATATACCTACTGTGTCACAAAAGGAAATCAGTATTAGACTTGGAATGAGATTTGGCTTTAAATCTGCTACTAATTTCCTGGGGGATCTTGTTAAGATGTTCAGTCTCAGTTCCACAGCTGGTTGTCTATCAGATAAAGATGATGATCAGATTCCTGATTCATAAATTATTGTTTTGTAGAACAATGATGTTCTCAAAGATAGACTGGAATTTTTGAATTTTTTTTCTTATTTGCAGGAAATAGTTAATAGCTAGGATTTGGGCTAATTAAATCGTCTAGAGGTGACAAAAACGACTGTTTCTCTCTCCATAATCTTTCTTTGCTTGAGAACCAAGCCACCTTCCTTCGAGCAATTTAAATAGAAGTGGAGCTTCATTTCTCATTGACCAATTTCCAATATTTTTAACTCATGCAGATAAGTGGGGGTTTTGTTACTATTGACTCATCTGACTTATCATACCTAAGGAATAGAAATTTATTAATATTAAAGAATAAAAAATTATCTTCAGATCTTACTATTCATACATTAGAGGCCTGGTTGCACAAATTCCTGCACAGGTGGGGTCTGGCTGGTTTGCCCTGATCGGGGCCAATCAGGCAAGCCTGGGGAAAGAGCTGCATGCAGTTGGAGGACCAGCCCTGCCCCTGATGAGGGTGGGGAGCTGATTGGGGGCGGGACTGGCTGGGGAAAGGGGCCACAGGCGGTTGGCCAGCCGACCTGCCCCCTAATTAAACTCCTGGTTTGAACTCCGGGTAGAGAGGACACTTTGCATATCACTCTTTTATTATATCAGATATTAACTGAATCTAAACATATTTACTGTGACTTTTACTTTCCTCTCTTCCCATATTGTACAAAGATATTCCTTTAGAAATTTTTCCCAACACAATTTGACACTTGATCTTTTTCCTTTAATCTCCTTAAGGTAAGTTGCTCACAGAAAATTTTTAGAAGTTTCCCTTTTTCACCAGGTGCAACATTTAATTTTAATGATTAGGTTTATCCTCTTTAGAGCTATTTAAGTGGAAGTGGTTTTATGTACCACAAATAAAATATGTGACTCTTTCTCGTAAGAAAATGTTCATGGTTCATTCAAAAAAGTTAAATATATCACTATATTAAAGCATTCTCCTCTCTCATCCCTGCCCCCCTCCCAAGATAATCATTGAGTTTTTTTCAAATAAAACCATCACTTGCAAGCAAATGTGAACAATACTGGATTCGCTGATTCTATTAGTTTCCTATTGTTGCTATAACATTGTCACAAACTTAGTGGCTTATAAGAGCAGAAATTAATTGTCACACAATTAAACCAGAAGTCCAAAACAATTATAAATTTTCCCCTTTCCCCTCCATTGATCCCCTCCATCTTACACCTATCCCTCCAGGCCTTTACCACACTATTGTCTGTGTCCATTGGCTATGCATATATATATATAGTCTAAATGACTGAATAACTGAACGACCAGTCAACCAGTTGCTATGATGAGCACTGACGACCAGGGAGCAGACCCTCAACACAGGAACTTCCCCCTGGTGGTCAGTGCACTCCCACACCTGACCTCCCATGGCCCGCCAACCTACTGCAGTCCCTCCCTCCAGCCAACCGCCCCCCACGCCCCATCAGCCCTGATCACTGACCAAGCCAAGAGACCCCCACCCAAGCACAAATTCATGCACCTGGCCTCTAGTATGCATATGAATTCCCTGGTTAATCTCTTCCCACCCTGAGTTTGTTTTGTTTTTTCTTTAATTAAATTTATTGAAGTGACATTGGTCAACATGATCATATAGGTTTCAAATCTTCTATTTTACAAGATCTGTATATTGATTGCACCATGTGCCCACTACCCAAAGTCAAATCTTATCTTATCACCCTATATTAGCATTCTCTTCTTCCCCTACCCACTTACCTCCACAACTACCACACTTCTGTTTGTTTTCATGAGTGTTAGTTTTATATTCCATATCATTCTTAACTTTTTCTAACTGACTTATTTCACTTAGCATAATATTCTCAAGGTACATCTATGTTGTTGCAAATGGCAGTATTTTATTCTTTCTTATGGCTGAGCAGTATTCCACTGTGTATATGTTCCACATCTTCTTTATCCAGTCCTCTATTACAGGACACTTTGGTGATCTTATTCTTAGTGCTGTGTTTGGTGATCTTATTCTTATGTTTTTTTGTTTCAGAATAACTCCCTTGAGTATTTCCTGCAATGGAGATAATAAAATTCCTCATCTTCTGGTAATAAAATTCCTCATCTTCTGTATGTCAGGGAATGTCTTTATTTCTCCTTCATATTTAAAGGATATTTTCACTAGTTATTTGTGGCTTGTAATTTCTCTCTTTCAGATGTTTGAATGTTTGGTTCCACTCTCATCTGGCTTGTGGAATTTCTACTAAGAAGTTAGATGAAATTATGATGAGTTTTCCTTTATATTTCACTTTCTTCTTTTCCCTGGCTGCTTTGAGCATTTTTTCTTTGTCATTAATTTTTGACAGTTTTAATACCAACTGCCTTGGAGAATGCCTCTTGGATTGAAGTAACTAGGTGTTCTGTTTGCTTCCTGGATTTCAGGATTTAGTTCTTTCCTTAGGTTTGGGAAGTTGCCATCCACTATTTGTATGAATATATTCTCTGTTCCCTGTTTCCTTTCTTCCTCCTCCAGAATGCCTATTATTCTAATACTAGGGGCCCAGTGCATGAATGTGTGCATCTTGAAAGGAACTGTGGGTCATGAGGCTATGGTGGGCACAGGGTTGGGTCTCAGCCCATCCTTCCTGCCCCTCCCACAGTGGCCCCTAGTCCCCTGTCTGCAGCAGCCCAGCTCACACTGCCAACGCTTCCATGCACTGATGGTGACAGCCTCATTCACACACACTGAAGGTGTGGAGTGATTAGGCTGAAGCCGGATTTGGGTGCAAGAGGTGGCTGCTGGCCCCGATCACCCCTCAGGAGCAGGGGGAGGTGGAAGAGCCCTGAGGGAAGATTGGGGCTGGCAGCCGCCACTTGCATCCACTGACAGTGCCAAGCGATCAGGGCTGGCACTGGGCACTGGCAGCAGGTGCAAGCAGCGGCTCCAACACAGGCAGCAGGTATGAGTGCCGGGTGGGACTTACGGTGCACGGAAACAAATAATTTTCAGTAACCATCAGAGGCTGCTCTAATGACAGTAACCAGCGCCCCACCTTGGTCTGGCACCCCCACTCACCTGCTCCACCATCCCCTTGGTGGTCAGCGCACATCATAGCTTGTTTGGTTCTGCTGTTCTATTTGCATATTAGCCTTTTATTATATAAGATTGCCTTTTCCAATGGAGTCAGATAAGTCTCATAAAGCTTACTTTTTATGTTCAGGTTTCTCTCTCTACTTCCATCTGTGTCATTTCTAGATACCTATCTTTGATATCACTAAGTATTTCTTCTATCTGGTTGGCTCTGTTTTTTATGCTCAGTAGTTTACTTTTAGTCTCCTAATTGCATGCTTCATTTCTAGGATTTCTGATTGGTTCTTCTGTAAAGTTTCAATCTTTTTTGTAAAGAACTTTTTTTTTTTTAATTGATTTGTTTTCTGCATGCATTGAATTGCCTGTCTATATTTTCTCACATCTTGGGTATTTTCAGAACTGCAATCTTGAAATCTCTGTCATTTATATCATCTACTAATATTTCCATGTGTTCCAGCCTACTTTCTGGGGATTTTTCATTTTCTGTCTGATCAGCCTCATTACCATGGTTATCTATGATATTTGCTTTTCTCCTTTGTCTACAAATTTATCTCCGTCTACAAATTTATAGCCATTTCCTCTGAAGAAGTCTTTATTTACTATTTTTCAATAGATGGCATTGAATCACAAGATTTTTTTTGCCTCTGTGATCTCCCAGTCTTGAATTCTACAACTTCCATAAGATAATGCAGCAACACTGTTTGAGGGTGGGATTTGTTTTGACCTCACCATAATTGCGACTCCTGACCTCTATGGGTCCTTCCCCGTCTGGGGATCAGTCACAGAGGGAAGCAGTGGTACTGGCTCTTGGTTTACAGGTAATATGATCCTTGACCCACCTCCAAGGGTGAGTTTTGGTAATCCAAGTGACAAGGCTCTGTGGTTCAATTTATTTGTCTGAAACACCACTGCCCAGCCCCACAGTGGAGAGCTATGTCAGGCATCTGCTGGCTCGATCACTGTTTGCTCTGCTTGTGGTGCTGGGCTACCTCCCTCCTCCTCCTCCCCCTTTGCAGATCTCTGTTCCTCTGGCAGAAGAAAGTGCCTGCTACTACTGACTTCCTCCCCTTTCTTAAGCCAAGACATGAGTTTCTGGCTACAGGGCTGCATCTTTGGGTCATTTGCAATTTCCTCCCTTCTTATCTCTCCATTTATTCCCAGTTGCCCACCTTTAAATGTTTCAATACACAAGTCTCTCAAGCATGCCTCTGTATTGAGCAGGGAATTCTTTATTGAGTTATAATTAGTTAACTTGTTTTAACTTCAGAGGGAGAGGCCAAGGGGATCTCTCATGCTGCCATTCCTCTGATGTCCCCAGCTCATTTCCCCAAAATTAGTCTTAAAGGGCTAAAATCAAGGTATCAACAGGGCTAGTTTATTTAAGAGGCCCCAAGGGATAATTCATTCCTTGCCTTTTCCAGCTTCTGGCGGCTGCCAATATTCCTTGGCTTCTAGTCACATTACTTGTATCTCTACTTCTGCCATCACATTGCCTTCTCTTCTGTAATAAAATTTTCCTCAGCGTCCCTCTTATAAAGATACTTGTGGCTGAAGGCCCATTCTATAATCTAAAATAATCTCTCCAGCTCAATATCCTTCATTTAATGATGTCTGTAAAGCCCTTTTGCTGTATAATTTAACATTTACAGGTTCCAGGAATTAGGACAGTTACCTGTAAAGGGCTTTTCTGATTCTAAAATTTTACATTATTAAGGGCTAAATGGGTGATTATAAATACTTATCTGAATTCAGGGTACCAAAATAGTAATTTTTAAAATCTTTAATATAATAAATATATATTTCTACTTTTAAGTATTCCCTGAGAGAAATTTAGTAGTTTAGGGACCACTGGTATTGATCATGGTTTTAATATGTAAATAATATAATAATGATTATAATATATTAACTCACCTAAACAGGCTTCGATTATTCAAAAATATGCTTTTTATTCTCTGATAATTATGTGACATAACAGAGGTGTTAGCTAAGGCCATATTGCAATATATAAATATATTAAATCAAAACATGGTACACATTAAATGTACACATTATATGTCAATTATATTTATATACACTTTTTATTAGAATTATCTGTACATATTACTTTATAAAAGAGGATAACAATAGCAAGGTAAAACTAAATTAATATGTATTCAAAAACCTTATCTTAATTGTTAATTTCATCCTTTATCCAAGTTAAAAAATTTTCCCAAATGTTATCAGATAGGCAAATTGACTGACTTGACTTTTAACTCTTCTTTATGTTTCTCTATTATATTTACAAAGAGATAATATGTGGCCAAATGCAAGCTATAATAAAAAAGGGACATGTATATTTCACCAACTTAATAATTTCTTTGGTAGTTGAGCTACGTTATATGAAATATGAAATTATTCTAATATATTTTTGGTAGGTGTATCCTGATTGTTTGACACAAGCTATCTATGTAACATTCCAGGAAGCATTTCCTGAATCCAGTAATCTTTTCAATGATAAATTTAAAGAAGATCTAGGGAATAACATTTATCTTTGGCTGTCAGGTATGACTATGTCATTTAAGTATTGATCATTATCTTGGTAGCTAAAGGTTTTGGATTTTGTTTGCTTCAGTCAAAAGAACAGATAGTTCTTTGCCTTACAAAACATGCCATATGTATGCCTATATTATAAAATAATAATGAGTATTCTCTTTTGAAAATTTTATAATACCAAAATTAATTAGTTATTACATTTAGAAGCCAAATAATTTTATAGGCAGTGTAACTATTGAAGAAAATTGAATTGCTACAATCATGTCGTATACATTTTATATTTGGAAGATAAACATTTTAACCAATTAACTGCCATGATATTTTGAATTTAATTAAAAAAGGTCTGCCGCTTGCATCTATAGATGCTTATGGAGTACAAATAGTTAAGCTGCTTTTGAGAATAATATTTATAACAAATAATATTCAGTAAATTCTAGAGCTAATGGAGTTCCTCAAAGAATATACAATGATTAATAAAAGAAACTTGTTTTTTGAATTATGATGTGCTTGTAGATAGGAGTGGTAGGAATGAAAAGCTAAAGGGAAGTAAATTGTAGAGAGCCCCCTGGAAGGCACATGGGCATTCTTTAATTATTGTCAGCTGAATCCAGTGGCCTTGGCAAAGCCATGCCCTGGGAACACACCTTGCCAAAAGGGCAAGGGTGTTGTTAGCTTCACCTTCATTTCAGCCAATAGTGTGGGGAAGTGGGTTTTTGATATCTAAATCCAGCCTAGCACCAGAAATGCTCAGGGCCTACTCAAGAATGCAAATAATTTCCTTTGTCTTGATCTTTTGGTGAAACTTCCTGTGATTAATATAGTAAGACATTTCTATGTAAAAGTTCCCTCATTAGAAAGTTGAGGTTAACAATCTTCACAGGACTGTTGTGAGAATAAAATGTATAATATGCATAAAAATGCTTTGACAGATTAATTTTTTTTCAAAATCCTAATTTCGTTGGCTAACTATATGTTTTATTATTAACAGGCATGAAACCTCAAAAAGGTTTTTGGACCCAGTGGAATCTGAAAGAACTGTCCACAACAACTATTCATGGTAGCAAGAAGGCACCTGCCAAATCTGAATATGATAGGATTTTAAAGAGTCAGGAACGGATAATGAATAGTAAGTAAATTTATCCTAAATTGAAGCATGAAATTGCCAAAATCATGTGTGCTAAGTTATTTATTTGTCAGAATTTTCTAATGATTTATACTTTGCTGAGCATTTTCAAATAACATTTGATATGTACACTGGTGTTATCATAGTATGAACATTGCTTTACATTTTAGTTTTTCATTATAAAATTATATTCTTATATTATTTTTAAGAACTTTTTAGGTACACAAGAAATATTCTTACTTTTTAGCTATATTACTAATTTATTAATAATGTATTTTGCTAATAAATTAAGTTTAAATTTTTTCCAGTAAGTTTAAATAATGTTTTCCTTAGAATTTCAGTTGTGTGACATGTTTGTCTGGACTTACCTAATATTATGAAAATATCTATCTTCTCTTTCTGGTACTTTTTATTTCCATGTTTTATTTAACATTTTATTCCATTTGGAATTTATTTTGATATAAGGAAGGTAGTTGTATTCTAGTATTTTGGTTTTTTCTAATTGCTCATTTATTAAATAGTTCACTTACAGGCTACATAAAATATCAATTCACTTGGACATATTTGTGTATTCTCTTCTATTCTATGTGCTACATGCCAAATTCCTGCACCAAACTTAGTTATTCTAGATTAATAAGCACTGTAAGGCAAGTTTATTTCTTTTTTCTTTTTCTTTTTCTTTTTTTTTTTTACATAATATGTCTAATACAAAACATAGGTCTGATGCTCAGGCCTTATTTCTGACTTATTAAATCAGAATTTCTGCCTCAGGATTTTTTTTAAGCTACTCAGGATGATTTCAACATGCAGGCAAAGTTAAAACCACTAATGTCCAGGGAAATAACTTTCTAATCTTTTTGATACAGGATAGAGGAAGAGGACAGAGGGACTAATCTACTCAACCTACTCTTCCGAAAGCTACTCTTCAGTTAATTTCTGTTTCTAAAATTAATTAATTACTGCTCTTGGGATTTGTGCTGTCAATTCCCCCACTCTTATCCTCATAGATATCATCCTACCTGATTTCCATCTTTTAGTACTTACATGAAATTTCTTGCTTACTATTGCCAAGGGTTTTTCCCGAACTTCAGACATAGTTATTGTTTTGAATCAAGGTTTTTTACTATCTTGACCTACTCTTGCATATCTGAGTTTTTTCCCCCCAGTCTGACAGGTGAATAACAACTTGGCTGAACATAAAATTAAGGAGTTTAAAGGAACTCGTTATTCTGTTAAAATTTTAACTTACAGAAAGTGATAAGAATAGAATAAGGAATTTCTATATATCCCTGATCCATCAATTGCTTAAATTTTACCCTATTTATGTTATCATGCTTTCTCTTATTTTCTCATATGGCATTGAAAGCTATAAATTTCTCTAAACACTGTTTTAGCAACATTGTACAGTTTAGATATGTTGTATTTTCATTATCATTTAACTTAAAATATATTCTAATTTTCAGTATAAATTCTATTTTGACCCTTGGGTTATTTGGAGATGTATTGCTTAATTTCCAAATATTTGGGGATTTTTTTAGATATCTTATAGTTATTTAATTCTAATTTAAAATATACTCTATATGATCTTTTGCAATATATTGATACTTGCTTTATGGTACAGTGCATTGCCTATCTGGATAATTTCTTGTGCACTTGAGAAGAATGTTCATTCTGTAGTAGTTTTATAAATCTTGATTAGATCAAGGTGTTTGATAGTATTATTCAGATCTTCTATATCAAGAGTTAACAAATTATATCCTGTGGACTGAATCTGGCCTATAGTCTCTTTCATGTCCTGTGAGCTAAGAATGACTTTTACATTTCTGTAAAAAGAAAAAGAATATACCACAGAGACCACATGTGGTTCACAAAGCCCAAAGTATTGACTTATCTGTCCCTTAATAGAAAAAGTTTGCTAACTCTGGTTCTATCTTCTTACTGATATTTTAATTACTTATTCTATTAGTGAGAAAGGATATTAAAATCTCCAACTCTAATTTGGAATTATTTATTTCTCCATTTGATTCTTTTGATTTTTGCTTTATCTGTTCTTTTAAGTTATTGTGCACATACTCATTATTATAATGCTTCCCTTTAATCATTTTGAAATTTTCTGTCACATCTATGATAATTCTTCTTGTCTTGTGTTCTATCTAGTTTGATATAATAGAGCCAACTCAGCTTTCTTATGCTTATGGTTTGTATGGTGTATCTTTTCCTATCATTTATTTACAAACTATATTTGTTTTTATATTTAAAGTGCATTTATTGTAGAGAGCCTTTAGTTCATTTTTTTTAATTTAGTCTGACAATTCCTTTTAATAGGAGTGCTTACTTCATTTACATTCACAATAACTGTATATTTTTACCATGTTCCTCTTTTTTCTTCTTTTTCTTTTTTCTTCAATTTTACCTCTCCTGATTTCTGTTCTTCCATTTCCCCTTTACTATCTTCTTTTGGTTAATTAAATATTTTTAGTATTCCACTTTATTTCCTCTTTTACTTATTTGCCTGTATCTCTTTGTAAGTTTTGAGATTGCCTTAATGATTACCAAATGCATCCTTAAATTATCAAAACACTACTTAAAGTTAATATTGTCCTACTTCACTAGAAATATAGGAGCTATATGTAGAGTGGAGTGAAAAATGGGACAAAAAGATGGGACAATTGAAGGGCTCCTTCATTTGTTTCTCTTCTCTTTGGAGGAGAGGAATTTGTTTCTCTTCTCTTTTCTTGCCTGTGCTGCCTGTTGTCCAACACATGAAAACCATTGTTTCATTTATTTTCTCTAATTTTTTAGTTGTTTAAGAAAGTAAATCCAGTGTCTGTTACTTCATCATAGAAGTAGAAGTGATTATATGTATTTTTAAAAGATTAAGAGGTTTAAAAGTAGCTTTCTATATTTATTCACATTTTATTATTCCTGGTTCCTTATTCCTTGCTATAAATTTGAATTATCATCTGTTATCATTTTCCTTTAGCCTAAAAAATGGCCTTTGGACAGTTTTCATAGTTCAGTTCTGCTAGCAATGAATTTTCTCAAGTTTATGTATCTAAAAATAATGTTCATTTTGCCTAACTTTTGAAGGATATTTTTTGCTAAATATAAAATTATGAGCATTTTTCTTTTGCCTTTCAGCAAGATACTACTGTTCTATTGTGTTCTATTTTATACTATTTCAAGTGAGAAGTCAGACACTATTCTTGGCATTTCCACTATGTCTAGAACAGAAGCATCCTATATAATAAGAGATGAATATGCTAATTATAACTAATGGATCACTAATCAGCAGGAGGTGGTGCAGCAAGCTATAAGGGGCAGGGGGGGGGAAATGCGCTACAGGAGGGGGCAGGGTAGCAAGCTATGGGGGGGCAAGGGAGATGGGAAAAGGTGAGAGAGCTACAGGAGGGTGGCAGTGACACTGGCAAAGGGATTCATGTGCAGAGCTACTAGTTTTCTATAAAGGGCCAGAGTAAATATTTTAGATTAATTGGATACACTTGATCTCTGTCACCTAATATATTTTTAAACTCTTTAAAAATGTATTTTTAAAAATTTATTAGGTTGGAAGCTACATGCAAAATAGGTCATGAGCTTGATTGTACCTGCAGGCTGTAGTTTGTTGATTCCTACTAGATGTAATGTGATTTCTTCCCTCTAACTACTGTTAAAGATTTTTCTCTTTATTCTTCGAATTTAACAAGTTGTCCATGAGTTGCTGATGTACTTTTTATGTGTGTTCATCCTCCTTGGGTTTTCTTAAACTGGTAGTTTGATGTTTTCACCAAATTTGGGGATTTTTTTTCCCCCCAAATTCTGTTCTATTTCTCTCTGGACTCTAATTTATATGTATTGTATTGCTTAATATTGTCCACAGCTCACTGGGGTTTTGTTATTTTTTTTTTAACTTTTTTCCCCTTTGTGTTCTTTAGAAAACACAATTTCTATTTATTTCATTTTAAGTTCACTTATTCCCCCTCCCCCTGGTTTACACTCTACTTTTAAACCCAATAAATGAATATTTTATTTCATACATTGTACTTTTCAGTTAAGAATTTTCATTTAGTCTTTTTTTATAGTTACCATTTTTACTCTGAGGTTCTCTTCAGACCATATTTTCCTTTAAGTCCTCAAACATATTTAAAATAGCTACTTTTTAAAAAAATATATTTTATTGATTTTTTACAGAGAGGAAGGGAGAGAGAGAGAGAGAGCTAGAAACGTCGATGAGAGAGAAACATCGACCAGCTGCCTTTTGCACACCCCCTACCAGGGATGTGCCCGCAACCAATGTACATGCCCTTGACCGGAATCGAACCTGGGACCTTTCAGTCCACAGACCGACGCTCTACCACTGAGCCAAACCGGCTTCGGCTAAAATTATTTTCTGATAATTCCAATATTTGGATAACATTGAGATGGATTTTTATTGGCTATTTTTTCTTGACTATAAGTCACAATTTCTTGATTCTTTTCATAATTTCTTATGTATTATGGGAATTTTGAATGATACTTTGAGGAAACTCTGGGTTCTGTTACATTCCACTGAACAATAGTAATTTTTGTTCAAGCAGGCAATTAGTTCAGCTGGACTCAAAGTCCAAGACTATGTCTTCTGTGGTGGTAAGCCACTGAAATCTCCACTCAGCACTTTAGTTATCTATCTGTTCCTTTTCACCTTTCTACCCTACTGCTCTCCTCTACCCAATGCATGAGTAATTCAGACAACAGCCAGAGGTTTGAGTAGATCTTGTAATATGCAGATTTGGTGCTTCCCTTCTGCAGCCCTTTTCTTTCCATGATTTCTAACAGTTCCTCATTTTTCAGTCCTCTGGCAGTCTTAAGTGAATAATATTTCCACTTAACTCCTCAAACCAGAAATATTTCTACCTTCTGTTTGCATTCCATCTACTTACATGCTACATAGACTAAGGTGTACTGTCAGTCAAAATGCTGCAGCTGAATGAACACAAATTGTATTTATCAAAGGTTGTTTCCCTCTAAAAAGGTTCGATTACCTTCCAGTTTATGGTGACTTCTGGTATTTTCTGGTATAGTCAAATTATTTTCTTTAATATTTTCAAAATTTATAACTGATACCTATTGGGAAGTTGGGTTGATGTACATTAAATATTTTGTTTAAATATTGAGCTCATTTTCCAATTTAAATATTAAATTCTCAAGCTAGAGATATTACTTCATTATCTTCTATTATTTAGTCTGGTAAAAAAGAAAAGTCTTAAACCAACCTATTTTTATTTCCTTTACAGTTAATTTGTGGATATTATTTTTTACATTTGCTTTGTGTGTGTGTGTGTGTGTGTGTGTGTGTGTGTGTGTGTGTGCAGATGTTTCCAGGATATTTTTTTATCTTATTAAAAAGACAATAATATTTTATTTTGGCACTTGTTCAGTATTTCATAGATCCTCAAGTTTTGAGGTAGGTTAAATATTAGCATTGTGTTTTACAAACTAAAACTGAGGCAGAGGTAATGTCATTTGTCACAAACCACAGGAGGAGTCCTATCAATGTCAAGAATAACATGGTCTCTCTAATATTTCAAATAATATCTCTGATGCATAGATTTAGTGGTGATAGCTTGCATATATTCACTTTAAAAGACTATATGTTACATAAATTATACTTTGGGTTATTTTGTAATTCTTTTTATTTTCTTTTAAAACATGGAATGCTTCATGAATTTGCATGTTATCCTTGCACAGGGACCATGCTAATCTCTGTATTGTTCCAATTTCAGTGTATGTGCACCAAAGCAAGCACTATTTTGTAATTCTTTAATCCATTCCTCAATAATTTTATGTGTTGTGGAATAATGTACTTGTTCCCATTTCTTAAAATTGCAAATTAACACATTACTGATTTTGTTCTTTTCTGGTTTTTGGGGTTGGTAAAGCAGAAAGATAACCAGTGAGCTTTTCTCAGAGCATTAGGCTGTTGTTAAGAGCTGGCGCTATATTCACTGCACCATATATGATGATTTAGGGTAATAGGAAAGCAGATATACAAATGGAGCCAAGACCAGAATAGATGCCTGTATCTAGGATTTTTAATTGGACTTTAAAATTAAAAAATGTCACTAATATATATCTCGATATTACTGGTAAGAACAATTTCTCTAAGTTTTTGCCAATGCCAAACTTTAGTTAGAATTCTTGGGTATCCCTAAGCTTCGTTGTTGCAGAATTTACCAGGCAACTGGAAAATACACAATAAGCACTTGGAGATTCAGGAAAAAACCCTTTATTTGCAGATGTACTGGTACAGTGACTCAGGGCAGTCAGTTTTCCAGAGTCTGAGTGATAAGTATGGAGGAAGCCTTCCTTTTATATCAAGCTTCTGGACTTTTTCACGGGCTTTGCAGTTCCTCTGTGGGTTGGGATGGGGGAAATGAGATTACACACAAAGGCCTGGCCTGGCTGGCACCAGCACTGACAACCCCTCCAGGAATTGTGTTTGGTTAATGGTTTAGGGCAGTGGTTCTCAACCTTCCTTATGCTGCAACCGTTTAATACAGGTCCTCATGTTGTTGACCCCCAACTATAAAATTATTTTCATTGCTACTTCATAACTGTAATTTTGCTACTGTTATGAATTGTAATGTAAATATCTGTGTTTTCCGGTGGTCTTAGGCTCTACAGCAGTGATTCTTAACCTGTGGGTCACCACCCACAGGTTGAGAACTGCTAGCAAGGTCACCTAGGCCTAGTAAATGTTTTAGCTAAATATTTCAAGTGAGACAGAAACTGAAGATAGAGAAAATTATCATTGTTTTAAATATTTAAGAAACAAGTTTCTTTCTACCAGTGGAAGGTATTTCTGATGTTGAGGAAATAAAATCTCTAGAAAAAGGCTTCTTATCCTGTTTTCACATGGTATACTATGATAGACTAAATGTCTTCTGTTGCAACAAAAAAAACCTGAATATATATTGTATAAAGATCAATTAATTAATTAAATAAGTAAAAGGCCATTACAAGCTATTCGTTCACTAAATGTTGCATAAACCAAGAATAGTTTTTTGTTAAAGGAGTGAAAAATGAGATGACTGTGGAAGTTAAGCACAAAACAACCAGTCCCTAGGAAAAAAACAGTTTTCCACATCACATTTTAGCCCTGCCAGGGGCTTCTCATTCTACCAGGTGCTCCTGGGCTATAGAGGCAAAAGTGACCATGAGTGAAGGGCTTCCCCTTGGATGCCAACATTTCAATGCAGCTTTTGCTTTTCAAGTAAGTTTCTGCCAGTGGGATGGGGATCTTTCAAGACCTTCTCTTATGAACTTTCCAGTATATGGTAAGGTATATTTATTGCTAAAAACCTTGAAAATGTGGTCCCATTTCATAGGTTTTAGATATATATCAATTTTTATGTTTATCTTCTGGAGCTGATACATATTTTTCTATTTATATTTTACAGTTTTTTAACTGAGAGCTAGGAGATTAAAGTGGCTATGTTTATCTTGCAACCTTGCACAGGGGTATCCTTCTAGGTTTGTTTTTATTATAGTGGAACCTTCATTCTTGACCTAATTTGTTCCAGAACACTATTCAAGAAGTGATTTGTTTGAAATCATTTTTTCCCCATTAGAAATAATTTAAATTGAATTAATGCATTCCACACCCCAATGATTCCCTGTTTTAACCTTTCTATTTATTTACAGTACATGTCTAATGCACTGTTTAATCTATAAACAAACACTTCTTTTCTTAAATTTATCAGACCACATCCTACAAGCCTTAAACAAATTGCTTTCAGCACTGTTCCAGGGATGTCCTTCAGGAATTCACTATGCGGCATCTTCCCTTTTGCACATGTCACTGCCTCAGAAATGCTAACTGCTTTTCATTTATCCAAATCAAAAATAGTTTTTCTAACTCTTCAATCGCCTGTGATCAGTTTCTTTCATATCCTTAGCAACATTAGCACTCGTGATGTTTTATGTTTAAAAGTATGTTAATTGTCCATTTTGTCAGCAAAACAAAACAAAATATTCACAGCACAATTTTCTGAGATGTTAACAACTCAGGTTTTAGCAGTAAAATTATTGGCATTTTTCTCCGTTGTTTCTGGCCTGAGAGAGATACTTTTTGTCATGACACTTTTTCTCAGCATGAAAGGGTTGTCAAATCCAGAACCAAAGCTTGTTCAACAACCAAAACATTTTTTCTGTGAACAACTTGGTCAAGGACAAAATTGTTCAAGATAAGAGACATTTGAGAACCGAGTTTTGACTATGTTATATTTTATTCAAACCTTCAGGAAAGTATAGAGACTATGTCTCACATATAACAACTATTTGTATTTTGCCACACTTTCTCTTAACACCTTTTATTTACAGCTCTTTTGTACCATCCCTAAGTTAGCCTCCCCATTCCCAGAGGTAATGACTATATTGAAGTTTGTAGACATTCTTTTTTTCTATACCATATAATATTGTTTTTAAGTTATTTACATAAATAACATATGAAACTGTTTTATATTTTAATATTAAACTATAATCAATATTCAATAATCCTACCTAATAAAAGAGTAATATGTAAATTAACCATTACTCTGCTACATTCAGAATGTAGCCCACTAGCCACAACCACCAGTCACTCTGAGTATGCAAATAAACCCAACCAAGATGGCTACAGCCATAGAGAGCAAGAGGGAGGCTTGGCTTTTCCAGGCAACAGAAGAAGCCAAACTTTCCACCTGCCTTTTCGGCCTAAGCCTCCATTCAAGGCTACAAAGTTTTAATTATAGAAGGTAAACAAATCCAAACAGAAATGATGGCAGCAATGGAACAAGCAGAAGGCTTGGCTCCACTCCAGGCTATCAAGTTTCAATTGTAGAAGATAATAAACCCCAGATACCGGGGCCTCTGCTCAGGTTGCCAAGGGGCATGGCTGGCCTGCAAACCACCACAGGCCCCTTGCTCAGGCTTCCCCACGCTACAAGAGAACCCCCTCCCTGATCCAGGACACCCTTCAGGGCAAACCAGCTGGTCCCCACCCATGCACAAGGCCTCTATCCTATCTAATAAAAGAGTAATATGCAGATTGACCATCACTCTAATACACAATGTGGCTGCCCCCATGTGGTCTAAGGTCCTGCCCCTATGTAGACACAAGATGGCCACCACAAGATGGCCAGCAGGTGAGGGCAGTTGGGAGGCACCAGGCCTGCAAGGGGTGGCAGTTGAGAGGGACCAGGCAAGCAGGGGAGGGAAGTTGGAGGCAATCAATACTGCAGGGGAGGGTAGTTCGGGGTGACCAGGCTGGCAGAGGAGGGAACTTAGGGGCAAATAGGCTGGCAGGGGAGCAGTTAGACATCAATCAAGCTGGCATGGGAGTAGTTAGGGGTGATCAGGTTGGCAGGCAGAAGCGTTTTGGGGCAATCAGGAAGGCAGGTAGGTGAGCAGTTGGGAGCCAGGAGTCCTGGATTGTGAGAGGGATGTCCAAATGCCCATTTAGACCCGATCCCAAAGGAATTGGGTCTAAATGGGCAGTTTAACATCTCTTGATAGGTTCCAGATTATAGAGAGTTTAGGCTGGGCTGAGGGATAACCCCCTCCATGCACGAATTTCATGCACCGGGCCTCTAGTTTAAAATAATCATATACTACCCAATAATTTTGAATACCAAGAGAACATAGTCAAGTTACTCCATAGACTGTAGACAGTAAGGAAAGGTTTTTTTCTTCTAGGAAATACTACTTAGGCCTTTTATCTCAATTATATTTATTTCAAATATTCCTTATTTACATGTCATTTCATGGTAGTCCTGTTTTTTAGTGTGTTTTTTTTCAGAAGTGAAGTGATTATTATTTCAGTAGCCATTGTCTGCAATCTAAAATGAATAATTTTTCTAGGTGGTGCCCTAACATGCTTGAAATAAATTTAATACTGTACATATAAGAAAAAGATCTTTTTTATTTGAAAAAATATAGATTATATTTGTTTCTAATTCATTTTATTTTTATATTAATGGAAATTTTTTTTAAAAAATGCATCAGATTTTATTTATACAAATATTTTAAAATATTTTCTATTTGATTCAAAAACATGACTAAATTTTTCTTTTTTTCTTTTTTTCTTTTTTTCTTGTGAGGTCACCTTAGTCTGGAGGGCAGGTTAGAGGTTTAATGAATATTTCTTTTTATATGCTACTCATAATTAAATGTTAATAATTTATGTTTAACTTGGGGATATCTTCAGTTTAAAGTATACACTTGAAAAAAATGTGTTAATAAAACCTTATTAATAATATTCCTATGTGGCAGGTCAGTTTCTTACCAATTATAAAATGAAACAACTGAAGCATAATATAATTTAGTAACATAACTGGTAAGTGGTAGATATGAATTTAAAGCCAGCAAATTCTGTCCTTAGAGTCTGAACTCTTAACCACTTACCATACTGTTTGCCTCTCAGTCATTTAATTTTGTAGGCTTGTAAGTATATTAAGGCTTAAATTTTTCAACATAGGATGAGTTATAACTTATGAGAATTACCATAGCCTCAAACCTTCATTCATGACTAACGTGAGTTTTCAGATCATTTCCTGGGATCAAATTTTAATAGGTGAGACTGAAGGAGGAAGGATGTTAGTAGAAGTGCCAGAAAAGGGAGAAGACTGGGGGTGGGGATGAGGGGGAACTCACTTGTTTCCCAGTTTTATATATGGACTACTCTAGAAATAGTGAGCAATGTTTAGAGAATTGAAAAAACCTACACTCTGAGTCTAAAGTGGTCCAGAGGTACAATGACAGCAAAGG